TATGTAATCAGTAAAATTGAACACACACTATAAAGGATATTGGAATCAGCACCATCTGTATTTCTAGTAGATACTTTGCAAAATCAATGGGAAGTGGAATTTATTGGATGATCACTAAGTGGTAGCTTCTAAAAAGCCATTCGTGGGAACACAATTTTTCCATTTTTAGGCGTTAAAAAATGTTTTATTCTCTGGAATAAATGTTGATCTCAAGAAAATATAGCTGCAAGAACTTAGTGTGGAAATATGAACAGTTCATATTAATAAAAATTTTTCATGACATGGGTTCGGGAAAATATATAATATGAGTCATTACATAATAATTTTTGTTGAATTCTGCTTTTCCGGAAAAAAAATTCAAATTGGTTTACGTATGCACTCTGAATTTCTCGAAACAATTTTATTTCTACTTGCTAATTATGAGAAATTATATGGGTACTTCTAGATTTTTATGAACTGTCGATGGCAACATTAGAGAGGTTGTGGAGTTCAAAAATAATATATTGATAGTTCTGGATGAATTGTAGTAGACATTATTTTAAAGTTTTTCAAATATTCCAAAAATATAGAATATCGCCTCTCTATGTCTGCTACATGTTTGATGGTTTTCCTTGTGCATGACAGAAAATATTATTTTTGATGTTTCCTATATAATCGTACGCCTGCCTATGTTCCCTCTATTTTCTACAGATGATGTTGCTACAAATCCGAATATCCTTGAATCTTCTTTTATTTTGTGCCTATGTAAGATATGTCATGCCTATTGCCGACCTCCCGAAGAGAAGTTTCTACCGTGTGATGAAGTAATGACAATAATATTTTCATGAATTTTTGAAAGTACGTATACAGGGAGTATCAGATGTAGTCAGGAAAATTCGCCATGAGGCGATAGAACAGAAATGAAAAGGAAAGTGCATGTGAACTTGTATGTTTTGGAGAAACTGTGTTGAAAAAAAAAAGATTTTTATTCACAGCTCAACATATTGAAACAAATGTTTTGGCGTAATGAGATTCAACGTAATTATTCTAATGGTGCCTGAGAAGGATATATCTGATTGATATGATATTTACCATAGAAATCTTTGTGTTCCAATGTTTCTTTAAAAGTTATTTGTTATGACCGAATTTGATTCCAAATTCAGAACATCCATTGAGACAACTCGATAGCCATAATGAGTATAATTTTGAGGTTCTGAAAATTTGTCAGTCACCGACCCCACTGAATTTTGCTATTATGAAAGCTTATACTGGGTGATTATTCAAAATGACAATTTCAACACCTAGTATCTCTAAACATAAAAGTTTATGACAACTTATTTTTGAATCAAATTTTCCCGATCAAAATACGAAAAACCTGAAAAACCTTGTATAGATGCATTTCAGGAAAGACTGGTATGACTTGGTAACGCCGCTTCAAATTTTCAAAAATAAAAAACCATTAGTATATACAGGGTGGCCTATCGAAAACGCTCCACCCAAGTTTTTTCCATTTTTTTGCAATTATCATAATCCAAAGTTGAAACCATGAAGCGTAACGGGCATCAACTTTCGATTTTCGACTGGAACACCCTGTATTTCATTGCATCTTTAGATTCTCCCTGATGAGCTGATTTCATCGAAGTATCACACTGTGGGTCTAACTGATTGATTACAGAGATCGAGATTTTTCAACTAGGAATGTTTTGTGTCGAAACTTTTCATCATCGGTCAAAACGGCTCACATGTCCCAGTCTTAACCTTTGATTCACTATCTACTGACGTTTAATTGAAACAAATACAGGGTGGTTTAAGATGCAGAATTCGAATCACCCTTTATCTTCTCCAATTAAATGTCAGTAGATATCTCGAAAACTAATGAAAATATTTGAAAATTCCAAACAAAATCTTAAATGGGATATGGTTCTCTTAGAACTTCAATTTCTCATTGCATAAGCAGGGTGTATGAGTATATGGAAGTGCATTTTCAATGGATCGTCCTATATTCTATTGCATATCTTCGGAAGTTATCTGATTTCAAAAATACCTATATTTTTCACTTGTAATCAGATTGAACTACAATTATTTATGTCAATCTAAGGTTAGCTATGGTAAAGCACTTATGGAACTGGCCAGTCTGATATCAATTCGATTATGTCTTCATTTCTGATGATAACATTTTATACCCCTACACAAATTAGTTCTATACCTAGGAAAACAATGGAGGCCTGAGGATTTTCGGTTTTGATAGCGGTATATGTCCTTCCCAAATTAAAAATGTTGAATGATATGTGTTATATTTGTCAATGTATGAAAATATGTCAAATTTTAACTTATATATATATATGTGTCGGACTAGGTATCTTTGGCAAATCCATTATCTGATGTTTGGGATATCATTATTATTACTGTTAGATTAAGTTTAATGTTGAATTATTGGTTTTTTTCCTATTCTGAAAGCCCTAGTTGTTTTTAGACTCACAAGCACGTGTTTCATTTCACGTTTTTTCTCAATATGGTGTGTACCAAAAAAAGTTTAATTTCAAATGCATAATTCTCTATTGCTTTGGTAAGTATTTATTTTGTGTTGGATACTAAAAAGGACTCTGAACTCTTGAAATAACCATTGTACCCTCATGCATAATCCAATATTTTCGGTGACCTGTACACCTCTCGAAGTTCAAAACTGAAAAAGTTTTTTGTAATATTTCATGTGAACGGTTTAGTTGGGGACCATCGTGGACTAGTTTGGTCTATGAATTATAATATGACTATGAGAAACTACAATTTGCATTGTATCTCATTTGTTTTCCAAAAAAATTAAGATGATTCTACATGGTCAAGTAATATATGTTAGGAAAGAATGGAAAAAATGTTTTATTTTAATTTTCTGGTAGGTACACCTATAAATACCAACTTTCATGTTTCCAGAGTGACTGGAACTATACATTTCCATTCATATCTGGAATTGAAGTAGGAAAAGGGACTGAATAGAATTTGAAATTGATCCTATAGTTAAGTCCCTGGAATTGAACAAATGATGTATACCGGGCGCCCCAGAGGGTTATCTGAAATATAGTAGATACCACAAATATCTGCTGGCCTAAAAGCTCTGGGACACCTACCTCTATACAATTGTGACTTTGAAACTACCTACCTACATTGATATTCCATTCTTAGAATCTTCTTTATACCTATACCATCCATCCATATATCTACCTACACCTACCATAAATATGTTGCTTCCTCATGAAATTCACATAACCAGTTATAATTTCTCATGAAAATTACCAACTATTACGAGTTGGTTGGTCTGATTTTTTCCATTCCATGTCTCCTCTCAAGTCATCCATGCAACTGATTTTTAGATCAGTGACCCATGCTGATTAAACCAATATTTTAGTGATGTTTTATTGTTAATAATAGCTAGTCTTCCTTTTACAACTATACATTCTCATTCCAGTGAGGATACAGGGTGGCTCATTTTATATGCACACAATGTACAGGGTGAGCCAAATTGGACACTTAAAAAAAAGTCTTATTCTCGAACTAGATAGAAGAAAACCAATGTCGGTATTGTCGGTGCCCGATGGTCAATTTTCATGACAAATTCAACGGTGAAAATCGCATATATCTTTCATTTCAGCATGTTAGCAATAAATTCTTCCTAGATAACGATTTCTGAAATCTAATTGACTATTCTGAAATACAATTGATGCTTTCTGAAATTCAATTGACGCTTTTATTGAATACAAAATGACGCTTTCTGAAATTCATTTGACTATTGTGAAATACTATTGACGCTTCCTGAAATACAAGTGACTATTATTCTGACATACAATTGACGCTTACCGAAATCGAATTGACTATTCTGATACACAAATACAACTGGAAAATGTGTAGATACTATAGGGAGACTGATGTCAGTGTCAGTCAGGATCAATTTTACCACAAACTCAATGCTTTGGAATTGTTTTCATGAGAGCAGAACGTTTTTGTCAGAAAATATTTGTAGCCACATTTCGAAAATGCACATTTTCTAAAAACATCTTTTAATCTGAAACGAACACAGATATTGACGCTCAGGTACTAACTCAATTTGGCTCACCCTGTACATATTATGAGAATGTCATTATGTTGTACCTACCAGCGTCTGCTTACATTTTTTTCATATTGATCCTATGTACAGCATCAAATGAGCCGTTTCTTTCATACCTATAGGTACTTAATTTAGAACATAGCACATTGTTAACAATTTATTCCATACTAAATAACTTTGAGGTGCTAGGACAGATGAACTGGAAACAGGCAAAAATGTCATGTTGAAAAGGTCTGTGATTGTTAGCTTATTAGGTACTATTAGAATAAAACAAGTAGATTATAAATGGTTTTTTGATAAATTTCCTCACATAGCTCTTCCCTTCAAGGAATAGGTAAATAAAATATCCAACTCATATTGAGGATACAAAGAAAAAATCAATAAATTAGGCATTATAATGGTGAAATCCAACTTGATTTTTTTTTGGCAAAAAATACAAGAATCTTCAACAACAATTCAGCAGCATTTTTTGTACATGGGAATATATTTTGCTAAGAGATGGATATTCTCAAATCCATCTTGGAATCCATGAGAGAAGGAATGATGATTAAGATTCATTGGTGAAAATTTAACTGGGGCTTTTGGCAACTTGTTTCATTGTATAGTTGGATTATTCGAGGAACAGTTTCTAATTCACATCAAAAAGGGAAAACACCCTTCATCATGTTTCATGTGTATTACATAAGTCAGTTGAGAGTATAGACAAATAAAAGAGTATGTGAAGCAATCATTTTTTTCATTGGTACCTACTGCACTGCACCCTAACAAAACCTATCACATCCTTGTTATACTTGAAGACCTTTTCTTTTCCAGAAGACCACAAAAAGCCAGTTTGTCCTGCAAAAACTCTTAACCTAATGGTTTCAAACTACCATTAGAATGTCTGCTGAAATTAACTTAATATTCAGTATACTTTAATTTTTAGGAATTCCTTAACAATCTTGAAGATTCCTATAACAGTCACATGACAATGCCTCCCAGTCCACAACTTAGACAAGAGTTGGAGGAAAGGTACTACAGGCCACCCCCTGAGAATTCAAATATTTCAAATTAAGCATCTAATCATAATTTCTTAGAGACTGCATTACTTTGTTGTTGTTCATGAAAATTTAAATTTTAATTGTTCCATAGCTGTTTGAATTGTTTGAAAGATCATTATTCCAATTCATTTGAGATTAAACTAATGTTTGCATAATTGAAATTGTTTGACTGTATTCATTTATTTTAGAAAAAAAATAATCTTTATTATCTTTATTTTCTAAAGCAGATACAAGTGCAAGTTCTTGTTTTTGTTTGATCATCTTGATTGCATTTTCGAATTCCTCTCTTTTTTCCTTGGATTCTGGAGGGTACAACTCTCTTTTCTTTTTAACAACCCATTCTTCAAAGTATTCTGGTTGGTTGAAGTAGTGAAATAGTGCTATTGGAAATGTTACATAGATGGCCATTTTTGCAACTTCTAAATGCCAAGTTCCCATGATTACTTTCCTAAAAAAAATGGGTGGAATACACAACAAAAAATGAAGATACCATGAACATACTTTCTCAACACTAGATTATATTGGATTCTGATTCCTTATTTGAGAATTCACAATTTATATATTAATTATTCATTATTAGGTAGGCTCGCTTTTAACATTGAATAAAGCTCTAAAATATTAATGATTTTCTTTCTACTTATAAACATAGTTATTAGCTATTAAGATGGATGCTGAAGTTCACAAGTTTTATGAATTATAAAGTACTCTTCAATATTTACCGCTGTTTCACAGAAGACTGAAGAAAATTGAAAATATACAAATACAAATTTGTTCACAACACCACCCTTAGTTAGATCATAGCCTCATAGCTTATACAAGGCTTATACCAAAGGGTGACTAACCTAATATTCTTTGCTTATACCTTGATCTATGAACACAACCTATTTATTCTTTCCAGTTTCCTGCAGCATTCCCATCCAGCCCGGATTCGGCAGCTTTCTTTAGTCCTTCAGTCACAGTTCAATCTGGTTCAGTAGTTCAATCTCAGTCTTCTTCTTCTGTTTTTCAGTCTTGACTTCTTGGCCAGTGGCGCGCATAAAATGACAGATTACAGATTAACACAAATATTCATTTGAGACCTTAGATCATACATCACCACTACATCACCTCCAGTTGTCAGGCAAGGTTAGTAGAAGTCAGGACGTGAATTATCACATTTGATTGGTTTATTCAAGTGGCCTTGTAATTTTTGGCCAATAGAAATGAATGCTGGTTAATATCAATTTGAAGACCAATTGACACTCGGAAAGTCCTTACGGCCCCCCAATTCCGTGCCTAGGGGTTTTCTGTTTTCTTTGATGGAAATGGTTGAATGTTGAATGTAATTAATAAAAAAGTGCAGCTTTCACGATTTCACTATACTCCGGCAAACAAATTCCTATCAAAATACACACGTTGATTTGTCGATAATGAGCTCTGCGTACAGAACTTTTGGAAACTGATAGACCGGTGTGCTATGAAGCTATTTATCGTTAACCTAAGATCGAGAATGAAGTGTACATAAATAATTATATCCTTTGATTTTTTTCCAAATATTTAAGTCATTTTATAAATTTATTTCCGTGGATAATTTCTAGAGATTTCGGAACATACCTCTGGTACCACCTGTAACTATGGCGAGCGTTTCATATCAAATTGCAAATTTATTGGAGAAGGTAGGCTGTGCAAAAAACAAAATTTGAATTGACATTGTCACCAAAATATTTCAAGATGAATGTTTGCAAAATTTTCACCTTTCTCGATGAATTGCAGATGACATCCTCAGATAAAGACTTCCGATTTATGGCTACTAATGATTTGATGACTGAATTACAGAAGGATAGTATAAAACTAGATGATGACTCTGAAAGAAAAGTAGTGAGAATGTTGCTCAAACTACTTGAAGACAAGAATGGTGAAGTCCAAAATCTTGCAGTTAAATGGTAAATAATCAGCATCTGTTAATCATATTCCTCTTATTGTACTATTTTCCTGCAGCTTGGGACCTCTTGTAAACAAAGTCAAAGAATATCAAGTAGAAACCATTGTTGAATCTCTTTGTACAAATATGGTTTCAGACAAGGAACAGCTAAGAGATATTTCTAGCATTGGTTTGAAAACTGTTATAGCTGAACTCCCACAAGCTCCAGGAGGATTATCTGGAAATATTTGCAAAAGAATTACTGGCCGCCTGACCACAGCAATAGAGAGGGTGAGTGTAATGTTTCCTTCACATAGGTATAATTCCTCTATTTGTGCTCATTTTTAGCAGGAGGATGTGTCTGTTCAGTTAGAAGCTTTAGACATTATAACTGATCTTTTGTTAAGATTTGGCCCTGTGCTACAATCATTTCACAGTTCCATTCTATCAGCACTTCTTCCTCAGTTATGCTCCCAACGTCAAGCAGTGAGGAAGCGTACAATTGGTGCTTGTAGTAACTTGGTTCTCTCTTGTAATAATACTCTTTACACCAAACTCATTGACCATTTGTATGATGGTTTATGTTCTGATAAAAATAATTCACAGATTCGAACCTATGTTCAGTGCATTGCAGCTGTTTGGTCAGTATCATATTTGGAAATGAGTTGTATTTCTAGATAATATTTTTTTTATTTTAGCCGACAATCAGGTCATAAGTTTGGAGAAAACATTGATAAATTTGTTCCTCTAATCTTGCAATGTAGTCAAGTTGATGATGATGAATTGAGAGAATTTTGTTTGCAAGCATTTGAGAGCTTCATCAATAGATGTCCAAAAGAAATCACAAAAAATATAGCAGCGGTTAGTTTGAAATTATTTCCCTGTGTAAGTGTTGTTGATAACCCCAAATGTATACCTTTCAGATTACTGATCTTTGCTTGAAATACATGATTTTCGATCCAAATTATAATTATGATGAAGATGAAGGTGGTAATGGTCAAAATGACCCATATGATGATGAGGAGGAAGATGAGGAAAATGATGAGTACAGTGATGATGATGATATGAGCTGGAAAGTAAGAAGATCAGCAGCTAAGTGTCTTGAAGCAATCATATCAACAAGACATGAGTTACTCCCAGAATTTTACAAGGTTTTGTCTCCTGCTCTCATCTCCAGATTCAAGGGTAAGTTTATTGAATTCCAGTTTCATTGCTTGCTTAGCTGATTTTTTCTATCTTATTCATCAATATTTCATGGTGAAACTATTTGATAAATCTTTTCAGAACGTGAAGAAAATGTTAAGTCAGATATTTTTCATGCATATATTGCTTTACTAAAACAAACTCGTTCAACTGTCAATACTAGTATTGACCCTAATGCTATGGTTATGGATGATGAAGAGGAAACTCCTATGTCCCTCCTCCAACAGCAAATTGAATTACTAGTTAAAGGAGTTCAAGGTCAAATGCGTGAAAAGAGCATGAAAACCAGACAGGACTGCTTCCAATTACTAAAAGAAGTATGCAGTGTTTTGCCAGGAGCTTTGAGCACCCATATTGGGGACTTGATTCCAGGAATTTTGTACTCTCTCAGTGAGAAAAATGCCAGCAGCAACATGAAAATAGATGCCTTATCTTTCATTTTCTGTCTTCTAACCAGCCATCAACCCCAAGTGTTCCACCACCACATCAGCATTCTCTTACCTCCAGTTATCAATGCTGTAGGTGATAATTTCTATAAGATAACAGCAGAGGCTCTCAATGTGCTTCAGGAGCTGGTTAAAGTTATCAGACCCTTGAATGTCAATTCAGGATTTGATTTCACCCCATTCACCAAAGATATTTATAGCTGTACCCTAGTGAGATTGAGAACAGCTGATATTGATCAGGAAGTTAAAGAGAAAGCCATTTCTACAATGGGACAAGTAATTTGTAATTTGGGAGACCATTTGAAAGTGGAACTGCCTTACTGCTTACCCTTGTTCCTAGATAGATTGAAAAATGAGATAACTAGACTGACAACTGTTAAAGCTCTCACCAAGATAGCTGGATCACCACTTAGTAAGTGAATATAATTTCTTCTTATATCTTAAGATAAACAAACATATTTTGTTATGTTCTATGATTGATTTTTTTGTAATTTGGATGTTCTTTGATTGGGTTCATGTGAGACTATTCAATTTTTCTCACATGTTCAATGCAACCATTCCTGATCTTCAAAAGTTCAAGGAGTAGTTAAGTAGTTACTTGTTAATAAACCCTGTTATACAAAATGTTTCTTGAGTATATGCAAAAAAATCTTGGAGTTAATTGCCTTCTGTTTGAAAATGGGCCTAAAATATAGTTTCATTCTAATCTGCTTTTGAGAAGTGAATTTTTCTGATATTGTACAAAAAAAATATATGGCCCAATCTGCTTGGTTTCTGGAATACAGGTGAATGTGCATATCTCATCAAATATTATCACAATGAGAACAAATGGGAACAACTTGCCAAGCAGCATAAATTCAGCTCACATCTTAATTTTGAGTAAATTTTATTAAAAATTCGGTCATAAGTGTTTAATGAAATAAATATCTTGTCTTTTTTGAGGTATTGAGTTGCCTATTCTACCGGAAGCAATGCCCATTCTGGGGCTGTTCCTCAGAAAAAATCAGCGTGCTCTTAAACTGAGCACCCTCCAATTGATAGACTGTTTGATAAAAAATTATCACAAGAACTTGAATGAGACTCTGCTACAACCTGTGATTGTTGAGATACCACCCTTGTTAGATGAAGCTGATCTACATATTGCTCAGTGGACTCTGATTATCCTCAAGTCTGTAGCTACCCATCATCCTAAGGCATTGCAGGATGTGAACAACACTATCATGCCACAGATCCTTGTGCTAGTCAAATCACCATTGCTGCAAGGTAACATAATGAACTGGGTGATCACTGGATTCCACACTTGCGATTATCACTCCTTTTTTCTTCTAAATCGAGAATTAATAACTATAATCATCAAACCAGATGATTCTCGTGAAAAATTAGGCATTCATTATTGTCAGCAGACCAAAGGACTGATCTTATCTGGTGGGCTTAAACAGTACTACCTCAAAATTCTCAAAACTATAATCACATGAAACAAATCATGAGGATGATCATTGTGAGTGTGGAATTCAAAATGAAATATAAGAATTGGCATTAATATATCTGGTTTTCCCCCATCCTAACCTTGCTTCCTTTCTAGATACACCAGTTTATGATGATTCAGCTATTATCCTGATAAATCGTCTCAGAAAATTGAAACTCTAATTCATCCAGTTTCCAAACCTTCCCCATCCTTTGCATGTTTCCTGTTTTACATTTTTCCATTGATGTTCCTAGGTACACTGTTTTTTTAATAAGGCACCCATATTTCTTCAACTAAATCTTTATTATTTTTCTAGGCACTGCCCTGCAATCAATGTTGGATTTCTTTAAGTCTTTAGTTAAGTGTAATCTGCCAGGATTGAATTATGATTCCTTGTTGAGGCTTCTTCTCATGCCTATTTCGAATCTAGCTTCTGGCCAAACGGCAACGCTGCACAAACAGGCTTTCTATTCATTGGCGAAGTGCGTTGCCGCCATAACTGTCACATGTCATTCACATGCTCTTCCAGTCATACCACAGTTCATAAATGAAATACAGTCGTCGTCTACGGATTCACAACAAATTTTCGCCCTGCTTGTCGTTGGGGAAATAGGAAGAGAGATGTGAGTAGACTGATTTTGTCTTGTTGCCATTTTTCTGAAGAATTTTCTTTTCAGTGATTTGACGCCTATTACTAATTTGAAGCAAGTTATTTTGAACTCGTTTTCGGCTGTATCGGAAGAGGTAAAGTCTGCAGCAAGCTATGCACTTGGTAGCATTTGCATAGGAAATTTACAGGAGTACCTGCCGTTTATTCTGAATGAAAGCCAGGATCAGCCTAAAAGACAATATCTCTTGCTGCATTCTCTCAAAGAAGTGAGTTTGATTTCAGTAGTTGCTTTCATTTTTTTTTTCAGAGATGTTTGGGAACTCTTTTTTTGTAAGAATGTTCTTATCAAAACCTTGTTTTTATTTCAGGATATGGCCCAACCAGTTCATGCACGTTCATTATTTAGTTTTTCTTTGTTATTATGTATGGGGAATTTGGGTTAATAAAATATAATTTTCCTGAGTTTTTGGATTAATGGGTTATTTATGATAATACTTTAATTCATCTGAACAATTATCAGAAGGGATTAATGAATTTCTCATAGTTTCTTTTTCATTGAAATACAGTTTAATTTTTCACAAAATGGAACATGCTGATATGTATTTTAACATTTTGATATTTTTCTTCATCTGATTTCAATGACCTATCACAAAGGACCTGAAAATGTGAATAGTATACAGAGTGTTATATGTAATTATTGTCCAGAAAAAAATGATCTAAGAATACTTGACTGAATTTCCCCTCTACTTATATACAGGCTCATCCTATAATATATTATCTGAAACAATGTAGTAAAGTAAATTCCCCCCCCCCGATCCTATATCGAATTTTGACATCTTACTATAGTTAAAGATCTCTGCTTCTCTTAAAATTGAACCCCCCTTCAACTTTTTTGTTTTTGAAGATAGGGATTTTGATTTGGAGATATTTTTTAGTATACTGAGTCTTTTATTTTGGAGCTTTTGTTTTTAGAATGTATATTTTCTGACAGGTTGATTGTGCTGAACTTTCTGATTTCATTGATACCCAGATACCAGCAACTTGCATATTTGTTTCTGAAATGATTGGGGTATTGACAATTAAACAAAAGTTGATGTCCAGTTCTGAAAAATAAAAGACCTCATGGGGAATTATGTACACGAACTTGACTACTAGTTTGCCTGTTCCTAGCGTTCTCCTAGTTTAGTTTTAAAGTGCCAAAATGTCATTAGAATCGGAATGACTGTTAAGAAGATTTCAACCAAAAACCTCATTCAGTTGAACTTCAACACGAATATCTCGGTAAGGTAGCACTTGTAGGAGAATTACATCATTCAAACTCCAGGTATTATGTGCACTATACTGTGAAATACTTATTTTTTGGCTGTATACATATCAAACAATCTGTATGTCGCTGAAATCAGCTGATCGAGGGAAACAAAAAAATGTTGAAAAACATAGGTGTTGTTACATTTGAAACAATGGACATCTTATATACTGCACTTTGAAAAAACACCCCGTTGATTTCAAGATGCATTGAAAATGTGCGCCATTTGTAATTGAGAGCAACCTGATTCTTGAAATCTTTACAAATAAGTACAAATGTGATCTTACTCCCATTGTTACCGTATTCAAATCTAAATTCATGAGTTCTTGTATGCCTACCATAAATATTTCAAAATCCTAACCATGTTTGCAAGTAAGAAGTAGTGTTGAAAGTTATACGGATGAAAATGCGGTCGATATTTAGTTGAATGGATTGAATATAATAGAAGATTCAAGATGCAATCGAGATAGAATCACTATAAGATGGAATAAGTTTGTATGTTCTCTCAATTTTTTTTTTTTCTTATTTTTTTGTTGTCTTCTAGAAATGTTCTCCAAAGATCTGTCACAAAAAAAGTTATTTTTTCGTAGGTCATCACTTGCCTCTCTCAAACACCTGAAGGTATTCAACAGCTCCTTCCATTCGTTCCGGCCATTTGGCAACAACTTTACAGACACTGTGAATGTACCGAAGAAGGTACCAGAAACGTTTTTGCCGAATGTCTAGGAAAACTAACGCTAATCGATCCAACGAATTTATTGCCCAAGCTGAAACGGTCTTTGAATTCTCCTTCCCCGCTTATGAGGACTACAGTAGTCACAGCTGTGAAATTCACTATTTCTGATCAGGTAATACAATGATTATTAATACTTTATTCTGAATTTCCAGTTGGACATTTTTTCATTATTCCAAATTTTTTGGGATTTTCTCTCCTCGTTTCTATAAAATAAAAATATGAATATTATTTCAATATACGTGTAGTGAGGACAAATCAGATGATTTGCCCCAAAATGTTACTGCGTTTAAAGAATTTTCCTATCAGAGAGCCTAAAAGAAAAATTCACAAGCTTGTCAGTGACAATTTGTATTGAAAAAATTTTTGGAGAAGGGGAATAAAGGTATATAGAAAAAATATCAAATTTTCACTTATCTTTGGACGTTTCGGGACCGGTTCTGCTCCCGTTTTCAACATGAGAAGAGATTATTTCAATAGCGAAGTCGTATAATGTCTTGAAGTTTTTCAGTTTTCAATGACAATTGGTGACGTTGGCAATCAAATGAGTTACAGGATGTTTTCATTAATTGATCTTGAATTTACCATTTTCATGTTCAGATTTTAGTAGTGAATACCATGTTCTGTCTATATCAACTGAACAAGAAGCAATGTTATTGTCTTCGTTCAGAAGAATGCAAGCAGATTCCTTGATTTTTCTCTTCTGGTTGTTATCTTCTTTTCCAATGATTTTAATATTATTCCACTCTGCCATATGTTGTCCGTCTTCAGTAACGATATGTTCAGCTAGTTTCGATTTATCGATGTTTCTTTTCTTTATATTGTACTTATGTTCCTTCGTCCTGACTGAAAGAGGTCTCTTGGTTTCACCTGTATTAAACTTTCCACAAACAAAGCCGAAAAATGAAGAACAATCATCAAAAAATTGTATTTACAGTATACCTTGTGTTTGTGGAAAGTTTTATACAGGTGAAACCAAGAGACCTCTTTCAGTAAGGACGAAGGAACATAAGTACAATATAAAGAAAAGAAACATCGATAAATCGAAACTAGCTGAACATATCCTTACTGAAGACGGACAACATATGGCAGAGTGGAATAATATTAAAATTATTGGAAAAGAAGATAACAACCAGAAGAGAAAAATCAAGGAATCTGCTTGCATTCTTCTGAACGGAGACAATAACATTGCTTCTTGTTCAGTTGATATAGACAGAACATGGTATTCACTACTAAAATCTGAACATGAAAATGGTAAATTCAAGATCAATTAATGAAAACATCCTGTAGGTAACTCATTTGATTGCCAACGTCACCAATTGTCATTGAAAACTGAAAAGCTTCAAGACATTATACGACTTCGCTATTGAAATAATCTCTTCTCATGTTGAAAACGGGAGCAGAACCGGTCCCGAAACGTCCAAAGATAAGTGAAAATTTGATATTTTTTCTATATACCTTTATTCCCCTTCTCCAAAAATTTTTTCAATACAAATTGTCACTGACAAGCTTGTGAATTTTTCTTTTAGGCTCTCTGATAGGAAAATTCTTTAAACGCAGTGACATTTTGGGGCAAATCATCTGATTTGTCCTTACTACACGTATATTGAAATAATATTCATATTTTTATTTTATAGAAACGAGGAGAGAAAATCCCAAAAAATTTGGAATAATGAATATACCACCTCCTTGATTAACCTACAGACAGTATTTGGACATTTTTTCGCGATGATTTTCTTTTTGGTAAATTTTCTGTTATTTGGGCTTCATATATTCAATAAATATCATAAATAAATCACATGAAGAGCATGCTTTTTTGGATTGTGAACTGATTTTCATACAATTTTGACGGAACATTACTCATATTTCAAAATATTTGAATATACAAATGTTTTATGACGACCAAAACACCTTTTGGAAAATCATTGTCATTCTTCTAATATTGAAGTAAAATAATTTTATTTTTGAGTATACAGGGTGTTTCCGAATCGATAAAACAGGCATTGAGGACGAAAAATCAAAACGAAATGAGAGAATTGTTTTGAAATAAATTTGATTTCAGAATTGACCTGATATTATTGTAAATCGTTAATATTTCATTTGTTTTATTTCTTGCTCCAATTTCGGAAGCACCTTGTATGATTTCTATTCAGGTTTTCTCTATTATTGATTGATTATATTATCTGCTTACTATATTTTCTCAATTATTACGTAATTCAAATGAAAGCTACTTCAATCATATATTATTACATTTTTGGGATAATCAAATTTTGAGTATACCATAAAAATTTAAATCCATATTGGACTCCTATTTTTCATTTACTGAATTTTCAGACTTTTTTGCATACACACAATGTAAATAATAAAATCTCACAATCTCAACGTATTCTTCAAATGTCATTCAGGATGTACATCAATTTTCAATTTATTAAATTCTGGAGAAGCTATTATTACAGTAAAAAAGAACATAAATTTTTAGTTTTTTCATACGAATTTTTTGATTTCCATTTCTTTAATTTAGATTAATATTTAGTATCAGAACATACACTTTTTTCTAATCTAACCCACTCTTCTTCTATTGCCTTATGAGATCCCAATCATAAGAGGGATAAAAATTATGTCACACAGTGTGGTTGGTTGACAGAAATTTATCTGAAAATCACGGATTTGTTTACTGGCTGCGATTTTTCTGGTGAATTCATGTACATAGGCCCAACAATAAGTAAGGACCATAAAATTCACTTTTTCCAATGGACACATAGATTTTTTATATCATTCTTGATTTTTTCATCGAATTTTAAGTATGTTTCATGTACCATGTCCTCCCCCAAATTCAACAGTTATCAAGAAATTCACGATTGAAGATAATATCGGTAGGTGAAAAGAAGAAAACATTTCTTGAATTTAGCTGTAGGACGTGATACAGGAAACAGAAGTAACAAAGAAATGATAATTCTAGATTTTTTTCTGTGTTCTGGGGAAGAATACATCAAGTTCTTAACAAAATTTGGCTTAAAGTGGAACTCGGTCAATCAGAAATATTGCTCACTTTGTACATGATTTGACCTTCAGAAAAACCGCAGCCAAAAATGAAAATCGACGTATCTGAGCGTATATCACCAATTGAGCATGTTTTTACCTTGAAGGAGAGAAAGGAAAGTTCTCTCCTATTCCATATTTCTCTTCCATGCTACCAACCTGACCGCATTGAAATGTAGAGAGGTCCGATAAATCTTGAAAGCTGTCAAAGCGGCATGTTTACATTGTTTTCATTGGTTCACATTTGTTTTTTTGTTGCTAATTGGTCACATCATCAAAACAAACCGCTCAGAGTTCAAGTATTTACCGTCAGGTGAAGTGACGTCATTTTCTATCGCGAATAACATGGGAATTAGTTCAGTGGCGCAAACTAGGGGTTAGACAAGGAAAGATTTATCGGACCTCTCTATATTTCAATGCTGCCACGTTGGTACCATTGAAGAGAAAGATGAAAGAGGCGAAAACTTTCCTCTCTCTCGTCCAAGGTAGAAAAGAGCTCAATTAACCTCTTTTCTGTATTGAATGAGAGAGAGGAAAGTTTTCTCTTCTTCTATCTTTCTCTTCAATAGTACCAACGTTTTCGCATTGAAATGTAGAAAGATCCGATGAATCTGTCCTCGTCTAACATCTAGTTTGTGCCACTGAACTATTTTTGAATTCAGCAGAGTGTCAAATTAACGATAATAACCAAATATGTCAAAATACGTATGATATAATTAGTAATTTCATTAAAAAAATTTGAAAGGTTATTAGTCAATTACATTTATGACATAGACATATCACATCATTATAATCTGAACTAACTGAAATACCTCACTAGAACTAAACTTGAATTAGTTATTGTTTTATATCAAAAAAATTAGATTATTATTCAGAATACATGCTAACTGTTTCAGTTCAGTCCAAGGGAAATATGTCAGTTAGTTCAGAAGGAAAAGATATTATAAGGCCTGTTTATTTGAATTGCTTGCTAAAGTTGATTTTTTTCATAGTTGTCTCTGTTCATGGCATGATATAAACAGAGCAAGTAAAAAAACAATTTTAGCAGGTAAAGCAAGCACAAAGAAACAGGCCTATTATAATATTGGAAATAGTTCAGTGACGCAGACTAGAGGTTAGACAAGGCAAGATTTATCGGACGTCTCTATATTTCAATGCGGCCAAGTTGGTAGCATTGAAGAGAAAAATGAAAGAAAGAACTTTCCTCTCTCTCGCTCAATTGAGCCCTTTTCTACCTTGAACGAGAGAAAGGAAAGTTCTCTCCTCTTCCATCTTTCTCTTCAGTGCTACCAACATGACCTCATCGAAATATAGGAAGATCCGATAAATCTTTCCTTTTCTAACGTCTACTCTGTGCCACTGAACTATTTTCGATGTTATAATGATGTGACATGCCAATGTCATGAATGTCATTGACTGATAACCTCTCGAATTTTTTAAATGAAATTTCGAAATATTTCATACTTATTTTGACATCATTAGTTGATATCGTTAAATTTGACTCTGCTGAATTCAAAAATAGTTCAGTGGCACAAACTTGATAGACAAAGACAGATTTATCGGACCTCTCTTTATTTCAATGCGGCTACGTTGGTATCATTGAAGAGAAAGATGGAAGAGGAGAGAACTTTCCTCTCTTTCGTTCAAGATAGAAAAGACCTCAATTGAATCAATTTCTTAGCCAGCGACAATCGATCCACTGCTGAGGCAATGCATCGGCGAATTCTTGAACACTTTGCAAGACCCCGATTTGAATGTGCGAAGAGTTGCACTGGTCGCTTTCAACTCGGCGGCCCATAACAAACCGTCTCTAATCAGGGACTTACTCGACACCACCTTACCCCAACTTTATGGAGAGACAATCATCAAGGTAATTTCATGAATATCCTGATAGTGGGAGAGCCCGTTGCAAATTTCGACCGCCATCAGAATAACGAAATGATAATATGTTCCAAAGGCACCTAAAAACATTGTATTTTATCAAATTACACCTGTCCTGAGCAGAATGATTGAAAATGGCACTTTCCTGTGTGATAATTTGCATTAATTTCTCGATTTGATAACGAGATAATAGAGAGTTGAAGTGTTGTCATGAACGTTGACGTAAACGTAGAAATTGACAGCTACGCATGCGCATTTTTCGATTCTTCACGTTTGCGTTGTTAGAGGGCTTACGGGTGTACGTTATCTCACGTTCCTTCACGTATACCTTAAATATCAACCAAACTATACTCGAAATATGCCGATGAGTAAAAATTATCAAATTCGAGATCACCAACGAGTTCTGCATCAAGGAGTCCTCTAATTTTAACAGGAATAAATGTTCGAATTCAAACACACAACCAAAAATGACCAATACAAACCGAAAACAAAATGTATTATCACATTATGATGACAGTGACGACCAAAGTGGCGACTTCAACTCAATTTAACGACAATACGTAAACGTTATTTTTCGTACGTTAACGTCGACGTGGAGGTCTACGTACAGTGATTACTTCAACTCTCTAATAATTCTTATCTCCGATACCAATTGAATGGGCGAGTGGACTAATAATGAATTATTGGCATTCAATTACTCCACTGTGTTATTAGAAACCTAAATTAATTTTTGCAACACTTCTCACGCTTTTTTTAAGTGAATAATACGTCGATGCGTTGTTCAAAATCGTTGAATTTCAGAGCTCATTTCAAATGTAACGTCATGGCCGCCATTTGGCGATACGTCGAATTGATGGTGACGTCACTTCTTATGCTGTATCGTTATTGGTCAGATAATCTTCCATTTCCACTCAAGGTTGTCAAGTCACCAATTATAATCAAGTTATCAAAAAGATGCTTGAGTCCTGTCGTTGAATAAAACATAATAGGAGGAACTCATGACATAATAGTTCATTCTTGACTTTTTCGAGCAACCAGCATGTCATGTGAATGTTGGAGACTTGGCAACATTGTGTTGAATGTCGAGAACTGACAAGACCACGCCCACAAGTCTTGCGCGGGGTTGTCACGTTCACCGATTCAAATGTCCTCTAGTGTCAATTGATATGATTATTATTTACACGAATTTATTATAAGCCATAAACCACAAATCATAAGGGAACATTTTGAGACAACGGAATTTTTATTGATAATTAGGAATATTACTAATACTCAATTGAGAATTTATGAATTATTGAATAACTAATAGGTATTTCTGAAGTTCCCAATCGTATTTCAACACATGGCAGCTGTGCCATGGTCTGCCCCTACTTACGAAATCGTGGCGTGAGTTTTTACAGGCGGTGAAATTTCTAGCCGTTTGAAAATTATCGTGGCATTATTGATGAATTTAGCACCTAACAATCGACTGAAAAATTCTTGAAAATTATGAAATTGAAAGGTATTTGAGTGATGATTCTATTTAAGAAATATGAAAAAATTAGTCCACTCTCCTATTTTAGATCTCAAAATCCTACCTGTGCTACCCGTTAATCTGAGTTATCCCGGACATACTTCCGTCACGAGATAACGATTTGAGAGAAAATGCAAACAAAAGAGTATAATGTCTTCTTCGCGAATATCCAAACATGCCGCGATTCAACGTGATCCAAGTTATTGTCAGAGCATCAATATTTTCGAGAATATTTCGCCCTGGACATCGGTTCCATATTCTGGTTCATTTTGTCAGATGACGGTCGAAATTAGCAGCTGGCTTTTGGACCATAATGATAATGCTTTCTATTCCTCTTGTGCTATATTCAGAGGGATTTGATTCGGGAAGTGGAGATGGGTCCTTTTAAACACACTGTAGACGACGGATTGGATATTAGAAAAGCAGCTTATGAATGCATGTATACCCTTCTGGATTCGTGTCTCGACAAAGTTGATATATTTGAGTTTATCAATCATGTGGAAACTGGTTTGAAAGATCACTATGATATCAAAATGCTTACTTATTTGATGGTAGCAAGGCTGTCTCAAATCTGTCCAGGTGCAGTTTTCCAAAGTAAGTAATTCGATCAAGAGCCCTCAGTTGAACCTGACGCAATTTTTTTTTCAGTGTTGGATAAACTTATCCAGCCATTACGAGAAACTTTGACAATGAAAGTTAAAGCGAATTCTGTTAAACAAGAGTATGAAAAACAGGATGAACTGAAAAGATCTGCCATGAGGGCTGTCGCTGCCCTATTGAGTATACCCGATGCAGGTAATAATATACCGGGTGTATTTTTAACTCAATATACAGTGTGTCCACCTTAAGGACTTACCACCCCTGTAAAATCGTTAATATCCGACCAATTTCAAAAAAACTTTTTTTGTTGGATAAGTATTTGAAATGCCCATCCAACGAGAGAGTGATCTAATTCTTGGACTGTTATCGTGGCCAACTGCGACAAATTTCAATGACCCATATTCCAGAAAGTACTATTAGGGATTTTTTTCCACGAAACTTGATGATGGATTCTGAATCAGTACCACTTGAAATATACCTGTACCGATTTTCATCATCATAAAACACAGGGTGTCCGAAAAAAACGAATCATCATTTTCTTCAAATAGGTGATCAGCAAATGTAGTTCTGTGGTTTTTCTAGAAAGAAATAATCACAAATTATCATTGGGGATTACTTCAAATATACCTGTATCAATTTTCGTCATTTGAATATACAATGTGTCTGAGAAAAAAATTAAAAAGGATAGGTAAGCAACATTTTTCATCCTGATAATTCTTCACTCGAAATAAAAAGATGAATCAGGATCACTTGGAACATACCTGTACCGATTTTCATCATCATCAAACACAGGGTGTTCGAAAAATCTAATCATTAATTTTTTTGAATTGATGAAAAAATATTGCCTACTTTTTCTTTTTAATTGTTTTCTCATACACATCGTATTTTTGAATGATGAAAATCGGTACAGATATGTGCAAAGTGATCCTCAATAATAATGTGTCATCATTTCTTCTCAAAAATACCACAATACTACATTTTCTGATCACCTATTAAAAAAAAAACAATTCGTTTTTTCGGACACCCTGTGTTTTATGATGATGAAAATCAGTAAAGGTGTTTTTCAAGTGATTGTGATTCAGAATCCATCATTGATTTTTTTGAAAAAAATCCCTAATAGTACTTTCCCAAATATGGGTCAATAAAGTTGGTCGCAGTTGGCCACGATTACAGTTCATGAGTAAAATCACTCTCTTGTTGGATGGACATTTCGAATACCTATCCAACAAAAAAAAGTTTTTTGAAATCGGTCAGATAATAACAATTTTACAGGGGTGGTAAGTCCTTAAGGTGGACACACTGTACATAGAAGGCTAAGACAATTTTATAAATGTTGCAAATGGAACCATATCTGAATTTTCGAATGTTCGGTATTAAAAAACTGAGTGATTTATTTATATTGTCACATCTTCACAACCAACAATGATTATTGTTGTAAGTTACACAGTATCTGCTCAGAAGAACAAAATTTCAATCGATGTTGTTTCCGATAGAACCGAAAGTTTTGGAAAATATATTCAAACCGAGGGGTAAACCACCTTGGAATTATGATGTACAGGCATGTGAGACAGTGGGATTCCGTAGGAGTCCGTAGGATTCCGGGTTAATTCCGTGGGATTCCAGGTATTCTTGTGTACACATTTTTCGAAGGTGGTTTACCCCTCGTTTCAAGCCTTATAAGATAGCTTAAGAATTGATCTTTAAAAAGATGTACAATGAACATGTAGTCTGTCGGCTGCGTGGATTCAAATGAATCACTTGGTATTTTTGTGTATGCAAATAGTAAAGTGATCCTTCTTTTTCTTTTTCAGATAAAAATCCTCATTTCAACGAGTTTGTTAGTCAAATAAAAAATTCTTTAGATTTAGCACCAATATTCGAATCAGTTCAAAAGGATTCGTCAAGTTCACATAGTGATTGTCTTCTCATGGATCAAAGTTAAAAGTATTTAATTTATTGAGGTCATTGAATTAATTCTTTAGGATTTAATTAGTACCTACTGTTAATTTACACTCATCATACATTTTACTCAATAAACTTATTTCGTCAATGTCTGATTTAGTATATTCATGAACCACTTATTTCTAGTCATGTTCAGAAGAACTAACAATTGTACAGGGTGTGCTAATATGATGAGCCAAAAATTTAACGGGGCCTTTCTACATTCACATCTACAGGGCCTCAAATATTGTTTTTTCACATTATTTTTCTCATGTATTGCTATCTCTGCTGTGCTGAAGTTGGTATTCATATCAGTGCAAGCGAATTCTTGATAATGTTTGGCCGGAAAACTGCTTATTTTATAGTAATGCAACAAGAGGAATTATGTTCAAGATGCTGGTTTCCTCAAAATTTGGAAAACAGCTCCCAACAAATAAGTCATGTGTTTTACCCATACTCCGTCAAAAAGCAGTTTAGGCTTAGGCGACTTTAGTTTTAGGAATTCTCAAATTTGGAACAGAAACAAAACAGCATCAGTGATGATTGTGTCAAATTTGAAAGAAAACTCAATTTAGGAGAGAATAGATTGAAATAACATAGTTGACTCTGACTGTTATTTTTTAGTTGTATATAGGTAGTTGAAACAGGCCATAAACAGGTTAGGTTCAATGAATCATTCTGAAAATGTTCCCAAAATAGACAGCAAGATGGTGAATCAACTTTGTGACTGCTGAAATGGAAAAATCTAGAATGAAAAAAAAACTTTCGCTTTACTCGGTCTGAAATTTTCGGTAAACTTGTTTCCGCACTGATTATTATTGGAGTCCTGTCTCTTTGCATGCCCTCTCTCTAGATGCCTAATTTCAGGTCAGATTGAATTCGTGCGCTCAAAGACTAGGGAGCATGTCTCCCACATGTTATACAACAAATCTTTCAAAAAATAGTCCTTGTGGTGGTATAATCCTTACTCTTTTTTCCCCAATGTGATTAATCGAAGAAGAAAATACTGTGAAGGCATTTACTGTTGGGGCCGATAGTGATTCACTATTTCAATGTTTTCTGCATCGACTATTTGTTGCGCTCTGTCTCTTTGCGTCCTGTCTCTAGATGCCTCATTTCAGGTAAGATTGAATTCTTGCTCTTAAAGCTGTGGTTTTGTAATAAGATTGTTAGTATGTTTGTGCTGTCTAATTGTCTATACTGTCTCGTGTTGCCAATGCTAGTCCGAATTGGGTAGTTCCACCCCTTTTTATCATGACTTCTGCCTCTTGCTGTGCCGAACAAATTCTACCCCGCTAAAAATAATTCAGTAGACTTACTCATTCCCAAATCAGATTGTTTTATAGTTTTTATTATTTTCGGAGATCGGTGTGCATACTAACAGTTCACCAGATTATTCAGTTAATTCAGGGTATAATAACAAAATGTTAAGGCAGAATAGTTCATTTAAGTTCGTGATTTGAAAATGAAGCCACCCCGTATCCCCATCCCTGTGTCAACCCGTTTCCACTCTTCTCTCATCTCGGTGCCACAGCTTTGGGTGCTTTCAACTCAAAATCTCGATAAAGACAGAGCTCGTGGCAACACTGGGTCACTAGCTGTCTTCTGTCAGTTTCATTTATGTGTTTTGTCATTGAAATTTTGAAATTGAAAATGTTGAGATCGTTAAATGCAAGCCATATGTATAATTTTATATTAATTTGGTTTGAGAATGTGATCATTTACATAATATGATGGTGAGTTATATGCAATTTTTGTTACCTAGTTCTTATTCTGATTTCTGACCCATCCGGAGTAATCTATCACTGAAAAGTGAAAACTTTGAAGCTGAAACTGCTGAAAGGTGTAATTTCTGAATGACTTTTATGATGTTTAGAATATTATGATTATGAATAAGTTCTAGTAGATAACACTCAGCACATTGATGACATCATTATTGGTATTTGTCTGTGGCATAGATCTATGTCTGTGGTAAGGGTAAGACTGGTAACAAAGAATAGTATCTCCTCTTTGCTGGTAACGTGCCTAAAGGGTCTATACGTCGATGGTAACGGTCTATATTGTGCTATAAATTGACTCATGAGTCCATGTTGTCTTCTGTATTTTTCAGTCTTCTGATCTAGATTCGAAAATGTTGAAATCGTTGAAAGTATGTAAGATGTCTAACTTATAAACATCTCACATATAGGTATTAGAATGTGATTTCCTACATAATATGATGGTGAGTTGAATGTTGAAAACATTGATTGTCATCTTATCACCCATGATGCTGAAAGAATGTTCAAAATGTGTTCAAGCTGTATGGCTCTATTACCTGTAGCACAGGTGTAACGAGAATTTGATTGAAATATGAAGGTATTAGGTATTGGGTTGAGGGGAGACCTACTTATGGAGGCATTTTTGACAGACGTGACTAATTTGACATTTTGCTTCTACCGTTCGATTCCTTCATCTTTTCTCTACAAAAATAGTATGCCTTATTTCAATCAATATCTTGTACCGTTCTAGAGAAAATCGCATTTAAAAACATACATCCCAACCAGTGACGGCTCGTCAGGGACGACAGGGTCGGCCGGGCCGTACCAGAAAATTTATGAATATAATAATTTTTCTAAACTTTTTTTTGAATATTCATCGTTTATTATGCTACTGTTATGCCACTATTATTTGAATGTCATCTGAAACATTTGGGTAAGCCAATAATAAGCCATCCGAATATACATAGAAAATCACGAACTTATTCAGAACCATCGTCAAAACGCCGCTTTAAGGCCGTATGACACGGGCCAGTTTTTCATCCATTTTCTGAATGAGAATTTGTATTCGGAATTTACTGCACCGTGTATTACAGAAACAGAGAGTCTGACTGCAAAATTGGATGAAAAATAGAACATGTCCTATTTTTCATTCATATTATGTTGAAGCGCTTGCGCATAACGCCGTTATTCAACCTTCGAATTGTGTGTTTTGTTTTGAAGTGAGAAACAATTTCTTGGGGTTATGGTAATATCACTTAGTTGGTATTAATATAAATAATATATCAATAATAATATAAATTACAAATAATATACGTCCAGTCATTAATTTTACTCAAATTTAGATAACATCGGTTATATAATGGTTTGGTCTTCGGAGCATATGTTATTGGTGCCCTAATTGGAGAATACCAAAAGAAACCCTGTTTGTTTGCAATCAAACACCCACAAACGCTCGAGTAGACTCTCTGACATACTTTATACTTTGGACAATGAGGAAATGTGGATTGAGTACCTACCACATTTCTGGTGAAATACAGTCTCGCATATTTGTATCTTCTTTAGTTTATTTTGTCCAGAACAAAAGTGAACTTATCATTATTCATTCTTATGAAATTTGTAGATACATATTTTATAAGATACAGAGCTTCCATAAAGGTGTTCATTTTCTTCATATTCAGAAGCATAGCACCCACTTTTGCAGAACTGCAGAAAGATATTTTTCAAGAGAAACTATTACTCAATACCCTTCTTCAATTTTGAATATCTTCTTCCAAAAATATATTTTGGGGTTACTATACTCGCACAACCAGCATGTGCATCTGCATAATTATTATATTATTTCATAACATGCGCATGCCCCTTGTCACAATATCTTGACTGTAATCTTATGTCGTGTCACACAGCACATAATTTTCCCATAGAAAATGATTCAGATTATTCTGATTATTTTATTGTGTTCAATAATGATCCATTTTATGAGTGGAAAACTGGTCCGTGTCATACGGACTTTACGTAGAAACGCTCGCTTAGCTCATTGCACTACTGCGATAAAAAAAACTGCAGTCGGCTGGCCGATCGGTGACTTCTTGTCTCTCGACGTATCACCCGGATCAAGTTGAAATTCTCGCGTATACATGTCATACACTGGTATCTACCAGCCGTAATCGCGAAAATCACGAACCAATAGATGGCGCTATTAAACGTCAAATCAACGTCAAATTTAAAACTAAGTATGAACAACAAAAACATTGCCGTATGTACTCATTGCAAATTGGTTAGTTGGTAGTAATTATAAAAAGTTGACCTCGTGATATCTTCATAATTGACGTACAAGGTTTCCGGTATGGAAAAAATAATTTTGTGCTAAGAAATTCATTATAATTCCGCTGTTTTCAAACATATGGAATGGTCGGAATGGCCCACTCAACACTTGCATTGGTATATGTATGAAGAAATAATTGAATTCATCGGGAAATATCACTGGCTGTTAATGAAGGAGATGAAATTCTAGTGAATGGGTTGAAAAATATGGTTGGAGAGGCTGCTAAGAAGGAACAATATCATCGATTTACATAAACAAGGATCCCCAGCAATTGAGGACTTGGAGTTATTTTCAAGATCGAATCATTGCACTCAACATTTATAAAATGATTTATAAAATGTATATTATTCAAGTAGGTATGGTACTGGTTTCTTCATTGTAAACAATAAAATTTCATGCAATAATTCGAGTTTTTTCATTAGGAAAAAATGAGGTTCTGGAATATGCACTTCAACAAATAAATAATTTTCAAATAAAACACATAATTATGAAACTCGAAACAATGGTCGCCATATATGTTGTCATTGTTGTTCATACTCGCAAGACTTGTAAAGTTAGCCACCAGAGGCCGCAAACTTCGTGATTCTCGCGATATACCGACCCTATTAATGCACGGATTGTCATCCTATTTTCGATTTAGCAATATATTGTATTCATGATTATTATTTCTAAACTTATTTGTATATTGATGTTGAAATGCACCAACTGAAAGAAAAAGTGAATTTGGAATAGGTATACGAAAATGAAAAATACCTATCCTTTTGATGTTCTTGTTCATGTTTGCGGTAAAAATGCAAATTTCTAATTCAACATTCATTAAATATCAAAATCAGTAATGAATTACCGGCAATAATTTAAGTATACCTTGAATATTATTGTATGTATGTGCCTAATATGGCAAGACAAATTTCAGCAGTCCAAAAAACATCGTAGAAAAGCTCTGGTGATGAACATGCATGGAACTTTAGAATGTTATTTATTTCCAAAGACGCATGTAGCGGTAATAAATAATATGTATGCCTCCCATCACGGAAAACATTTGAAGATACTGACGATACTCGGAGGTACGGCCAGCCGACCAGGTAGAAGTGGGGTGGCTAGTTATAGTCATTGTGGTGCTTCTTGCGTTTGGTGTGTCATGTGTTGAAGTAGTTGAAAATAGTTTATTCGGGCTTCAGATTTATCAGAAAGAATAAAAATAGTCATGGCGAGCGTAAGAGAGGTAGTTATGATCTGATGGTAAAACCATTTATCATCATTTCATTAAAAACAAAAATCAAGTTGACGAACTATAGTTACTAGAGCAGATTCTGAGGGCTCGAGCCGTCACTGATCCCAACCGTTTCAAAGGTAATAAAAACTCTTTATTTATTTATGTCATAACCGACATCAAATTATTTGGACAGTATTCAATACTTTGGTAACACCATGGATGAGTTTAGTCATAGACTTATAATAGGTCTATGAGTTGAGTAATGATGAATCTGCATATGTATATGGACTTGCAGAAACTTTCAAGGTCAATAAATAAGTAACGAAGTTCGATAGACAATTTTTTATATGAAGTACTGAAATTATTTTAGCTCACTCTAACAGCCCTGCCATTCACGACCTGACCTTTCCGGAGACCCTGTATTCAATGACCTGTAGAATTTTCTCAAAAATGTCTGTATAAAAACCTTCGCATTTTTTAGGCATCATTAAAAATGTAATCGATGTTTACAAAAACCACCTTGATTACTAGATGATAGTCGATATTCATGATACAATTGAGGAAACATAATGAAACTCTATATTTGTACATATATATAACATAATGTTTTAATACTCGAACGTAAATAAACATAGATCACTTTTTACACATATAATATAGCGATATATTACAATTCAATTCACCTATCTACATACAAGTACCTATCAGCTCTTCTTTGATCTTGAATGAGAATTTTCCAGATCCTGAAATTTATATTTATAAAATATATACCTATATTTGTTCCTACTTCTATTGAATGAAAAGTCTCAATCATATATGCCTCACATGTTTTGGGAATAGTGCTAAATTCTATGGATTGCGAAAGTTTTGGATTCATGATAATGTTCCATTATAACGTCAACATACTTACACTTGATGTTAAATGGCCATTACTTCCATTTCTTATAAGTGGTCTTTGTGTTGAACTAGTCTCATACCTCCTTTCAACACTGAAAATTAGGTATTCCATCTTATGCAAGTGACCTTAAAGTTGTATTATATTAGTATTACCTATTACTTCTAGAGGATGATCCTGATTTTTTGAATATCCCTGTTATTCTTTCTTTCAAATCTTTTTTACTTCCTCTTGTGTCCTCAACACTTTCTGCTTGGGAATTTGTCTAAAAATAATTAATAAAAAAACACATTTTTGGTTGTGAGGTGGGCCATTTACCTTTGATGAAAGATTTCTTGTTGGTGAGAAAGTTCCAGGGTCCTGGTCATCAATGCTTCTGGACTTAGTCAACTTCTTCAATTTCCCCATGAAACTCTTCTTTTTCTTCTTTTCCCCAATCTCACTTTGCGTCGACTCATTAGACAATCGACTATCTAAACTGACATCAATACGAGATCTACTGTTCTCAATATCTGAATGCAATTCCAGAGAATTCAGGCTAGACATACTGTTGTCATTGGTCCAAATATTTTGTTCGGCCTGAATGGTGTGTTCCAAAGAAATACTTTTCCTCTTGAGACTACCATGAGTTGGTATCGAAGGTTTTTTGAGGTATGGTTGCCGATATCTTGACTCCCCATTATCGTGTTCTGTAGATGTAGCTCTTCTAACTCCCATTCGCCTCAACCTTTCTCTTTCGATGTCATTTTCAGAGAGTTTTTGGAATTTACGCAGGTCTTCAGTTGTATGAACGAGTCTCTGCATTATGTACTGTATTTGCTGCTGTTTTTCTTCTGGTCCTACGGATGTTTCTCTTCTTTCTAGGGCTGGAGACGTTTCTCTTGATTTTGACTTCGTCCTTCTTGGAGGGGTAGGGGTATAAGGGGCTTCGTTATCTTTTGAGAAAAACAGTTCGGGGGCTAGTTGTTTAAGAGTGTCCATTTGCTCAACCAAAGCGTTTATTTTTCGGTCGTCTTCTTGGTTTATACGCTTCTTGCCGTTGATCATCAACCTGTTTTCTTCCCGTTCTTTATCATACCTCTCTCTTTCTCTTCTGAGTTTTTCATTGGTAGTTCTCAGTTTCGCGTGAGCATCTCTCAGTTCCAGTAGATCGCACTGTAACTCCGTGAGTTTTTTCTTATTTTCATCTTGTTCTTCGTCTGCAGTTTTTTTGAGTTGGTCCTGCTTTCGTTTAGCTTCTAATTTTTCCTTATCTCGTTCTCTCTCGACCTCGAAAAGAGTTTGCCTTAAATCTCTTGCTAGTGTTGCAGTTTCTTGAAGGAGCCTCTGTTGCTCCTCCCTCTCTTTTTGCCATGCTAGTTCCATCTTGGTTCTGAGACCTACTATTTTCGTTCTGCCACTGTTTAGCACCTTTTCTTCTTCTAATTCGTTTACTTTGGAGTGTAGCTCAGATAGTTTAATTTCCCAGGACGATCTTTCCGATACCAACTCAGTCTTAAGTCTTGAGCATTCTAGTCTGGCCTCTGACAATTCGTCTTCCATACAGCTTATTTGTTGTTCCAGAGTAGCTACCTTAGATTTTGATTCTTCCAGCTAAACAAAAAACAAACAAAATAAATGGATAGCTCCTGCTTGAGCATCTTCTATCAAACCAAAGCAGTTTTTTTCAATCCACTGAAAATATTAATTTTAAAAATATTCAATATTATTGAGACAGTCAAATTGTAGTCAGGGTCTACTGGATATTGGGTTTTATTACCTCATCATAGGCAACATTTTTAGGACCTTTTCTTGCTAGTCTAGGAGATTGCTTGAGCTCTCCGATAGTTTTTTGTGCAGTTTCCAACATGTGTTTATAAGTGTCTTTTTCTCTTTTGAACCTAACCACTTGGTTCTGTAGGGACTGTAATTCTCCATTCATTACATTTATTTGACTTTCATATCGCATCTTCAGCTCTGCTAAATCAGACTTTTTGTTTTTCTCTAAAGTGTTCACCCTGCAAAGCGTTGATAAGATTGAATGAAATATGGAATGCTGTTTTGCTGGCTTACTTCATTCTTAGTTGTTTCATCTCTTTCTCCATCGCACTGGAATCTGCACTAATATTCCTTTGGATTTTGTTAACTTTTTCATAGTCATCTAATTTTCTTCGAAGGTCTTCATTTTCTTTTCTCATGAAATCTACTTGGTCATGGAAGTTGTCATGTTCTTTTTTTATTTGGTCGTACTCTGACTGTTTTTCTTCTAATAGGGCCCTCAGTCGTTGTCTGTCCGAGTCACTTCCATTACTTGAGGATTTGAATAGTTCTTTCAATCTTGCTTCCATTTCAAGTTTTTCTTTTATCCATGTGTCATGTTTTATGTTATACGTATCTCTAACTGTTTTAAGTTCTCCTTCTATCTGTTCTATTTCTCGTTTTAAAGCCTTATTTTGTCTAAAAATAAACGAATGGAGTCATAAGTATCAATCTATATGTGTATTTAATATACCGAGTGAGTATGAGATTACTGCCCAGTCTGTATGTTTCATAAAACGGCTCAGATACAGATTTAGACAGATTGAAAGCATATAATATATGCTAGAAAATATGTTATTGCACACCCTAGCTGTATAGGTATCTATCTCTTGCCAGTTTTCAAGAAAAGGCTGTTGAATGTGTTATTAATATTTGTTCTTACTTACGATTCCACAGTTTCTCTTTCCATTACCAGTTTTGCTTTGGTTATTACATGCTCTTCTTCTAGTATTTCGTATTTTGCGGTCAATTCGTCATATTTGCGCCTCTCTTTTATGATGGTAGTTTCTAGTTCGGTAATAGACTTCTGAAGCTGTTTGACTTCTGGTGAGCCTGTGCCATTTTGTTCTAGTTTCTTTATTTTCTCTCTCAGCACAGTCAATTCAAGTTCCCTATTTTTTTGCTCTTTTTCGTTGTTCGATCTGAGGATATCCAGCTTCTTCTTCTCATTCTATAACCATTTCGAATTCTTCAGATGCATTATAGTCTAGTTTAACGTCTTACCTGGAGATCTATTTCCATTTGTTTCACCTTCTTCTCCTTCTCTGATTTAATATTATTGATTTCCATCTGGATTTTTGACAACTTATCTTCTGCAGTTTTGCAAGACTTGTTGGCAATTTCTAATTTAGATTCAATCTCTGAAACCTGGACATTGCCCTTGGTCAGTTCATTTTTCAACTTACTTATTTCTCTGCTTTCAATTTCACTAGCTTTCAAGTTTGTCTTCGACACAACTTCTCTTTCTTTATCTAAATTGATTTCCTGAAATAAATTGATGAGATATAAGAGAATTTGTATCCAGTAGGTATTAACTATAAACTCTCACCAATTGCTTAACTAATTTATCTTTCTGTTTGATTGTATTTTCTAAACCATCAATCTTCATAGCAAGATTGTCCAGTTGGGAATTGAGTATTTTTCTTTCTTCCTCCCATTTAGATTGATCAGATTGTAGTACTTTAATTTTTTGCTTCTCAATGTCAATCTGTTAAAAGAAAGATGAATATATTCAGAATAAATTTGAGGAATAGACCCACCTTGGTTTCGAAAGTTCTGTTCTGTTCCTGCAACTTTTTATCACATTCGTTACATCTATTTTCAAATATAGTCAATTGTGATTCTAATTCTGAAATTCTTCTTACTTTCTCGGAATTCTAAGAGGAAATATTTATTAATGGAAGAAACAGTTACATAAATAATTCATACTCACCTCATTAGACACCTTGGTGATGTCGAGTTCCAATTTCGAAATTTCTTTTTCTTTTTTCTCTAACGATAATTTTAAGGAATCAACCTTTTGGATCAAAGCATCCATTTCATTCTGCTTTGAAGTAGAAGCCTCTGAAAATTGGGAAATATAATTTTGTTACATACATGATTTGCTTTATCTTACTTAAATCAGCTTTAAGTTTAGATATTTCGTCATCTAAAGTTTTCTTATCTTTAATAATTTTTGTCTTCTCCTTTCGTGTTTTTTCTATTTCTGCTTGCAGCGTGCTGTTCTCACTGGAAATATTCTTCAATTGCTCTTCAATTTTGCTCAATTCCTTGTTTACTTCTTCAGTTGTTTTACTAGCTTTGTCACTATTACATTTTTCTTCCTCAAGTTCTTTCTTAACAACATTATATTTCTTGTTCATCTCTTCAAGTTCTTTCATAATTTTTTTCACCTTATTGTGAACCTCTTCTTCCGATTTGATTTTTGCATTGTCATTAGTTTTTATCACAAGAAGCATTTCTGCTATTTCTTTTTCCAAATCACTTACCATGGCCTTCATCTGATCTCGTGATGTTAGAGCTGTGATTCTCTTCGGTGTTCTTTGACTGAATTTTTTATAGTCACTCTAAAAATCAAAAATATGTTGAATTGAATCGCTTATTTCAATGAGTATAAGTACCTTTGCATCTGTGTAATTTCCAGATTTATCAGAGTTATCCAAGAGCTCTTCAAGTTCTTTTATTTTATCATTCCTCTCCTTCAGTTCAATTTCCAGTGAAGCTATTTGATCAATATATCTATCCATATTTTTGTCAGCTCTCAAAGTCTTGGTACTTTTCAGCAAGTTGAGTTTCTTATTCTCAGCACTGAGTTTTTCGTTTTCAGTCTCCAAAGATTGAATCTTGTTTCTCAATACTGACGCCTCTTGGTCTATAACTTGCAGTTGCCTCCTGAGATCCAAAGTTTGTTGGTCCAAGTCGAGGGACCTAAAAAGACAATAAAATAACTGAGTTTAGTGTGCTGCTGAGTACGTACTTGCTTTTTTGCATTCCTTTGGATCTTTTCTGGGTGAGACTAAGTTCAGCATGTAATCTTTCGCAGTCCCTTTCCTTTTCTATGAGTTTCTTTCTAATGTCATTCGTTTCATCCTCCAAAACCTGAAAGAAAGTCAGCATGATATGCCACGATATAGGTAACGAATCTTCAGTTACCTTCAATTTTTGATTCAGCAACGAGTTTTCTTTGCTTTTATCACTGGACAGTAGCGATCTCTTCGTACTGCTCCTGGTATTGCTGCGGTCTTGTAGATCTTTGATCTTCGCTTTCAGTTTGTGATTCTCTCCTTCGAGCTCCTCGACTTTATGTCTAAGTACTGATGCCTCCTGCTCGCTGAGTTCTAGCTGCAGCTTCATTTCTGCGGGGTCATCATCATCTGAAAAGTCGCCCTTCTCATGTGGAGGTTCCGGTGTTAGTCGTTGGTTGGTCGGGCTCAGTTTCCGAGCTGTAAAAGTATGTCATAATTTTCTCTTTGTGAAGCGTCAATTTCATAATCAGGACCAATGACAATGGATATATGCTTCATTCAACTACAAGACGATTTTGAATCTATAAAATTGATAAAACCACTGCATCCGTCATTATTCTAGCTTTTATACGCCTGGGAGATGGTTGAATGGCCCCTCTTATGTTTTTTTTTTGTGGTAGCGACGGTATTCTGAGGTGCCCCCTTCTGATCGCGGACAAATTTCTAGTATCCTTGAAGGTATTAACCCAAGCGAGAATTCGGTTTCCATCAAAAGCGGGCATTCGACAAATAGGTCTGCACACGAAAATCACGTTGTGGAACGGACCATTCCATTATGGGTCCGTTAGGAAGGGAGCAAAATGCAGTAAGTAAATGGGGTAGTCAAGTGTGTAAGGCGGATACAACTGTTCTGAGCACTCAAGCAGGTAGGACAATTCTGTTTGATATATCGTGCTTTCAGTTGAAAACACTACATTGGCAAAGTATTCGGTCGCGCTCGGGGCTAGCAGTTATGTAGGAGTTGGGGGAGGGGCTAGCAGCTATGTAGGAGTGGGGGATTAGCGTCGAGAGATCACTTTTCGGATGTTTTCGCTTTCATAAGCTGCATGGCTCGCTTTCTCCCTCCAATCAAACAACGATATATCGCACGAGGTATACGATGTATGTAGGGAGTAAACGTGAAAGCACGGTATACAAAAATTTAATATATATACAAGGTTTTTCAACTTGGGTCGGCACTATTGAAGCTGATTACCATGATGAAAACCAAACAAAAATCTTACATCGCGTTCACGAGATGTCAAAGAGTTCAATTCAATGGGATACTCAGTATACAATATTCTTAATAATCGATATATCTATGAAATAATTTTATTCTGAACAAGAACGTTTATCCTTAATTCAAAAATACTAAGCTATCGACGATATGTTTTACTCTATGGTGAGGCAAAGTTACGACAATATTTCGACCATCCTCGACTAACACAATCACTTTGACAAATTCGAAAAATTATCGATAGCTCATTACTTATTTTCGTTTTTAGGATAAAATATTATAGAACAGTTTGTCCAGAATCGAATTACCTATCGATTATGAATATTATTATTGTATACTGGGTGACCCAATTAAAAAAAATAACCTTTTGACATCTCGTTCGATTCTTCTTTCGATTCCATCCTCGTAATCAGCGGGAAAAATACTACTAGTTGGCCCATTTAACTGGCGTATCTCCAATAATCACCAAGTTAGCAATAGTATCGACTCAAGTTTGACAACTATGTATACAAACACATACAAGCCTGGAAAGCCTGCGTTGCTAGGATTTAGGATCCACAGCTAAAGAAATCTACATCAATAAAAAATACTATTTTCTCCCTTCACTTTATGTTAATTGGGAACATAGGTATTTGAAGAGTTACTATGCTCACATTCACATAGAAATTGTTATTATTCTAGCAAAACATTGTTAAAACATTCATTTTCTGACATACTTCTGGCACGGGAAGCCATTTTCTTTAGTTGTAAAACCAACGACTCGTTATCATCTTCAATTCTCGAAACTTTCTTTTGTAAAGTCTGTGCCTGAAAATTTAGAAAAAACTTTCAAATCAAAAACATTGTTTCGGTTATTTTGTCATCATATTGAATATACTTTACCTCTTCCTCAGCAAACTTCAGTTGTTCCCTGAGATCAGCTTCTCTCTCTAACGAATCTTGCAAATCTCTCAGCAGCTGTACTGGGTCATCTTGTGAACCTCCTCGGGTAAGAGATTCCCGTGACACTTTTTTCTATAGAAAAATAATGAAAACACCCATGAACTATAAAACCAATCTAATATCTAATAAGGAACAGCTTCGTTCAGTAGTGAAGACTACCAAAGCCTGTAATTCTTTGTAAATTTTCGTGTACAAAAATAACTGAAATACGTATTATGTGCATCGAATTTTTTTCCCATCTTATACTTACTCCGTCTGCTGAAGGGCTTTTCCCAATGGAACCAAGAAGTGGAGCTTTCTTCTTATTTGGTCCTTTACTGTCCTCAGCTTCAGAAATTTTCAGCTTTGCTTCGTCTAGTTCTTTCTGCAACCTTAGAGAAACCTCATTTGCTACTTTCAGCTCCTGCTCAAGCTGTTTTATTTTTTCTATTTGATTCAGCGTTGTACCACTGCCTGAAATCTACAGATATTTATATATAAATTTTCACACATATCTAACCTGACAAAGTTCATACATCCTTCAACTTCTTTTCCAACTCCGCTTTCTCGAACTCTAATTGAGTAGATTTTCTCTCTGCTTTCCTCAGTTTGAACGATAATATTCGACAATTTTTCGTTGTCTGGTCAAGATCCTTCTTGATTGAAGTATACTCAACAGCTTGGTCCTCTCTAAAAAAACAAGACGTTAATCACTGTTCAGACTGGCGCCTTTTTAAACTTCATGCACCTGAAGTTATCTTGCAGCTCATCCATTTGTTCTTCCATGTCTCTCAGTTCTTTCTTGATGTCTTCATTTTCGTCCATCAGTTCCTCGCACAACGTTTCGGCTGCTAAGAGCTTGGACCTGAGATCATCAGTGATTTTCTGTGCTTCTTGCGGCGTGGGTCGCTGGTCCAGATCATGTTCAAGCTCTCTCACCTTCAGTGTCAAGCTCTTTTTGTCATCTCTGTAGTCTTCCAACTGCTGCTGTAGCTCATTGCATTTTTGCTGTAGCTTGAGTGCTTCTGACGCTGTCGTTTTACTGGTTGTTGTTTCCATGGCTGCTAGCCTTCTCAAGAGAATATCACTTTTGTCTCTCTCTAGCCTCTCGCATTTCATTTTCGTTATGTCTAGTTCTTTCTTGAGGCTTTCTAATTGTTCTCTGAGTTCACTGTCTTGGGCATCAACCAGAGTTGTGTCTGTTGTTTCTGTCCCTGCAAGGCTGATATTGTCGTCATCTGAATGCTGGTCTTGTGCGTGGTCCTTATTATTTGGTTTTGATTTTACCTAGAGGAAAATGAAACAAACACTCCTGAGTAAAGTGAATGGTTCATGTCTTCTCAATAAAATTTATTGCGCTTATTGGTTCACCAGAATTTACTTCTGTATTTTGATCAAGTAAATCATTCTCACTTTTTATAGCAAATTATGAATTAGTATTAAATTACTTCTCCAATGATAAATCACCTACTCAAATGAACTACACTGGTATAATTAGTAATTGTCTGAAGTTTCAACTCTTGGATTCCCCCCTGTAGCAGAACATGTCCATGAATAGTCAAGATAGATTGAAAATAACATGTTAAATACAATTTTATTAAGTTTTGAAATTTAAACATACATGTATTTGAAGAACAGACTCTATTTGAATTTTTTACAGTAATTGGTTATGTTTTGAATTATTATTACGAAAAATCTCGTGTTTGTTGATGAAATGGAAGAAGTTTCACTATTGGAGTATTGTTAATCAAATGCTATTGTTCGATCTTTTATGAAAATCTTTTCATGAAAATGTTCTAAAATAAGAAGGGAATGCGAGGAGTTCAAGTTTCATAAAATCCCAATTGCAGTTGTAGTAGTATACCCTTAATTAGTTTAAATGAATGCAGACCATTATTAGTTTTGAACAAAACACACTGGCAGGGAAGCTTTTATTAATCTGAAAGCAATTTCCAGCTTTATAAACGATTCCGAATTCAATGATGGAGTTGAAACTATGGAGGAGGCTGTATGAATTACTCAACAAAACACAATGTTGATTTCAGGATAAATGCCAAATAATATTTACTTTTGTAATAAAACTCAATTTACTGAAGACAGTATATTTCACATTTCTTGAAAATTGACTAGAATATCTGGAATGGTCGAAAGCTTTCATAAGGTGGGTTAATAAAACCCTGTGGCAAAACTTGAATAACACCAAAAAATTTATGAAAATATTACACCGCCTGTATATCGTAAACAGGGCTCCTAGGCATACACGAAACAGCCAATTTCGGGCACACCGGTCATTTACGAAATATCGCTGGAATCCGTCAATTTTAATTTAAAAGGGAATTCTTTTTGCCTGTTTCACCCCCTGAACGGAAACCCTCTAGCGGGGTTGAGTCCTCGGACTCACCCCTAAAATCTTGAATGGAAAGGGGGGTCGAATGATATTTTATTTAGAAGGTATTTTCACCTAGATTATAACCTCCGAGTACGTAGTACGTAGTACTACGTTACGTAGCCCATACAGTGGCTCACCAAAAGTACAAAACCGGTTTGTTAAAATTGCGTGTATAAGTCCACATTGAGAGTTAAAATCGCAAGACTGCTGATCAAGTCCAACCATAACTTGAGTTCTTCTATTTGTTTACATAGGCCACATCATTCTTTTTCAATAAAAATGTGAAAATGATGTTAAGCTGATAACTAAGTAACTTTTGAGTTTTGACAAACAATATTGGCGTTGGAAGAATTACTTGAAATGGTATTCGATGGTATTTACATTTTAGTTGTAGTAGTAGTAGTAGTAGTATGTACTTCGTTGGTATGTATCAGCCCATGTGTGTTCTGTGTAGGCTTTGTTACTAACTTCATATGTCACCAGCACCAGGAGCAGCACTGTTAATTGGAACGCAACAGCAATTCGTGCGAAACATCTCCGGCCGAGGCTACTATAAGATTAGAATTCATTATTCAATTCTTTGTTCTGCCCGGGATTCGAACCTAGCAACCTTTCGATGTTCTGAAAACTAGCCGACCGCCTCAACCACTGCGCTATTTCGCCGATATTTTACATTTTATATTCACAAAAATCATATTTCGGAACACATAGGTCTAACACTAGGTGGTGAAAGAGTGGATATAAACTTTTATTAGTAGGAAGAAGATTATATGAGAAATATAGTACAAATTTCCTGAAAAAATCCCCGGTTCAAATGAGACTTACATATTCGAATTATGAAGCGGCAGCAGCAGCATTTGGGGTAGGAAGAGGTGGGGTCAAAAACACACAACATAAATTACTTGAATGAGAAATTGTACATCGTGATTATTGGGTTCATCGGATATCGTTTTTACTTCTTTGATCTGTATTCGTTTTCCTCTTTCCAACGTTGATTCCTTGATACTTTGGAGTTTTTTCGCCCGAATAGCCAGACTGTCACTTTTGTTGAATACTGATGATTGTTTGGATTTCGACAGAGAAAAACTACCTGAAACTAACAAACTAACACTGTATACTTACTTGATTTCGTTTCTGAGGACTCCTACCGGTTTTTTGGCCTGTGTCTAACGGTTTTATTTTTCTTTTTGGTAGTAGTAAGTTGACAGTTGTAACTGGTTGTGTATCATCTTCTATGTTCGCTAAATCCTTTGTAGAAGTCCAGGAGGAAGGAGTGTTGTAGTCATTGCTAGCCTGATTCGCTTCTTCGGCTGTTAGGTTTGTGCTTGATACCCAAATCCTTTTGTTTCCTTCTCCCTCTCTGAAAATGGATTATGGATAGCCTCAATAAATCGATCCCGAATATTTCTCTCCATATTTTCATCTCAATTATTATTAGTCAAATAGGCAAGAACACAAATGCGTGGATTCAATTGGAATGTGCATACAGTGGCGTAATTCTGCGGCCTTGGATATTCCCATTTCCAAGGAGAACTTGAAAAGGCGGAAGGAGCCTTGAGAGCTAGACAATGAGAAAGACTTCCAGGACTGCGGCAGGCTAAAGAAATCCTCGGAAATTTCAAGGTCTAAGGCACTGATAAACCGCAGCAAAGGAAATCTCAAAGCAATAAGGGGATTTCTAACGGGGCATTGCAGACTCAAAGAACACTTAAGAAGCTAGGCTTACAGGAGGACGGCACCTGCAGATTATGTAAGGAAGAACCAGAAACACCCCATCACATACTGATGGAGTGTGACTCTGTACATCACAAAAGATTGAACATACTGGAAACACACCAACTGACTGTGGAAGAAATACCACAACTATAGATCCCCTCAAAATCCTGAAGGAATTAAATCTCGAGGGGCTGCTATGAACAAAAAATTTTGGGAGATCTAGAAGGAATAAAAAATTCTCTGCCCTTTTGTCATCGTGATGAATGTCATAGTATTTTTTCTATATAAATTAGTGTTCTTGCCTATTGTGAAATCTGGTATGTGTTCCATACCTGGAATTCAGGGATAAACTTGGAGTTGATAAAGTCGATGCATCCTTGTGTAAATTCGACTCGCTATCTCTTTTCTTCCCACCATGCTCCTTATAATCTCTAAAATTAATATATGTATAGGGTAGACCTATTATTCTGGATGGCTAACAAATGTGCTCACCTGAAACATCTTTTGCATCTGGTAGGCCATCTCACTTGTGGATGGAACCCCAAAGGACACAGTGGGTCTCCTTTTGCCAAAGGGTACATGTGATACATGTTTTATTGTGTGCTGAAATTAGTTTCGTGTTGATCTAATTGCGTTCAGATTTGTAATAGTAGATTGCTGTATCCCAAAATATTTATAGGTCATCATTGACTGTATTATAAGCATAAGCAACATTTCACCGTACGATTTTTCCACTTCTTGTTTTGCTATTATGTTCCATTGCCAAAGTTTCAAATATTTGAAAGAGGTATTTCAGGAAGTAGCTAAACCTATCGTAATCTGAGGCAATATATGTTTATTTTTCTTCCGTAATTTCTTGTTCAGTGATGGTATTTCTGTTTCGTACTATATACAAACTTCTGGTGCGCATGAAAGGAAACCTCTAATATGTTTGTGAAACATCGTGCGTACCTACGGGAGGATAGGGAGAGAAGGTAGGTATTGATTTTTTTTCTGGACTTCTTCTGGAGGTTCTTGGTAATACTTCCCTAGCCAAAGAATTTCTTAGCTTCGCCGTTCTATAGACAAGCAAGTTTAGGTAGAGAGTTGTTCGACGTATCTTGAGGTTCACGGCAAAAAAATGTGGTGGCTGAGCTTGTCTAGTTCGTCTGACTGGTATTGCTATGATAAACGTGAAAGTATCTGAAGAAATGTGGGAAGTCATGATGTCGAGGAATTAGTAAATGTGGCATCACCAACCAGGCAAATGGCCCGTTTCTGAATGGAATATAAGACCATCAAATGGGTGTTGTGGAAAAAAACGCACTATCATTTGCAAAGCTGTGGATAGGGCAGGTGATTACACCCAACAATATCGTCGATATGGAGTACCAAATTAAATTCTTGTGGACTGCCGGAGTTGATGGTTATGGTATCAGACGATACTCCATCCACCACCACATGGAGCAATCTGCCTGAAAGAATGCATAGAAGAAGGCATAGCTGAGGTGGTAAGCCATTTGATGGAAGTTTGTTGCCAAACACGGTCAAATGTGTACATTTCCTCAAAAATGTTTGCTTTCTCTTGCGCTGTTCTTGCTAATGTGCCGTCGATCCTAATATTCAGATATCTCGATATCTCAGATATCTCAGATAATTGATGGTAATGACCGAGCGAGGTAAACACTCATGGAATGTTATTTTGAAAAACCATGCATCTAACATATTTATTCATTACCTTAAAAGCCTGGAAGTTACGGCTCCTAAAAGAAGGAAAATATTGTCTAAATATATGGTCTCCTTAATTTACCCACCGGAAGAAGTAAGGAGTTGCAAGGGAAGATGATGAGATAGGAACGGATAGGACCGAACTTAGGTTACTAACTGAAATAATGACAGGCCACTGTGACTTCACCTACACAGATTAGGTATCCCAGCTTGGGACTGCCCTACCCTATATGTTAGCCAGAGCCAGGAGGCAGTGGGATAAATGATGATATGGCAAGGGAAATACCACAAATACCTATTTATACCGGGTGAGTGGAATTCGAGTAGATGCATGCGGATCTCGGTAACGGTATACAGAGAGGGTTAAATGGAGGCAAAGTTTCGCAATTTTATGCCTAATAAAGTGAAGTTTTGGAAAAATTCCGAATAACCCCTGAAGATTTTTGGAAAAAACCGAATATTCGCGATTTCATTTTTATTTTTTTCTGACTCTGAGTAGATCTGACAAAACAGATTACACATCCTCATTCGAGTTGTCATTGCTACTTGGTCTGTTCTACAAGATGGTGTTATCAGATTTTCAAATCGACGTTTCGTTTTTGAGGTGCCATCATAAAACTTGGATTTTTCATAATAGATTATAATAGTTTTTGATCTCCCTCAACGGTGTATCTCACTTATACAAAAAAATCATATCAATGGCATTTTCCATAATAACTCATATATTAGAGATATACCGAGAATAGATTTTTAATAGGATTAAAAACACCTTACTACTCAAAATCAACTACATTGTCGAGCAAACTCCAGCAAAAGTATAGAAAACGGATGAGGCATTTTTTTACAAAAAAATTTATAATGGCCAATGATTCGGACTAGTCACAAATAATACTCATACCCATTTTCAAAACAATATCTTATAACGGGTGTTTTTTATCAAAGGTAGGTACAATTTTTGAATAATTAAATTTTTCAAGTCAGTTTGATGAAACCATGCATGATGGTAGTGAGAATTAGATCAGAGTGAGATGAATAACGGAAAAAAATCAATATACTTCATATTTTTTATCAAGAAATGAAAAAAAAACAAATAATACCTAGCTATAAACAAATGAGATCGAAAGATTGGACCTCGGATTGGACAATGAACAAAACAGCAATTATTCCTATTAAGTTCATGTTTTTTTAATCTCTATGCACTTTCCATATCTCTTTCTGCACGTTATTTTGAACTCTCCTCCATGGTTTACAAATTCAGGCTAAGAAATAGAGAATAAGAGTTACGCCAAAGAATAATAATAGTTTGCAGAGAGGTACCACCGTTTTCTGTAATTTTTCTGGGGTTTTTGATTGATGATTTTTGTTTGCTCGACAAAGATCATAATTTTGAGAAGTATATTATGAGAAAAAATGCTAAATTGCCCTAGGAACACGAAAGTACAGCGGTGAGGTGGACCAAATTGTAGCACAATGTATGTCCATCCTCAGCCTTAATCTCAAAAAAATACATTTATGTCAACTTATTTTTGTATCCCCATGACTAACGTAATTTTTGTGTGATAAAGGCTGAGGATGGACATATATGTCCGAAACATGTACCAATTTTAAATGATGTGTTAATCACATTAAATGTTGTAGAGATGACTTTGTGTATCATTACTTTACTACACTTTGAAAAACCGTGAACTGCTTCTACCAAAGCTTATAAATTAATGTATTTAATCGTTTGCATTTCCTCATAAGCTTCCTGATAACTGAAATGTGGAGGAACGTTTTCTATCATTATTTATTTACATGGTTTATATTTAGAATCCTACCGTTTTCGTAAGTATCTCGATTGATAGGTTCATGAATGGACCGAAATCTGGAAACTCCAAACAAAATGCCAAAACACAACGTGACGAATAACTACGTTGAATTTTTTGTATTGAATTTGTCACTTAATTCATATCAATATGTGATCATGAAATTTTAAGAGACAGTTGAATTCCTGCATTCGAGGGTCTATATATAGCACCAGCCTATTAACACATTTTGTTCAATACTATATACACTATACCGCACTGAAAACTAATTAAAAAAACTGGAAAAGACACACCACTTACTGTATAGTTTTCGGTACTAGGGGACACTATCGGAATTCTTTGGAAATACTAGTACGAGTTGGTCTATGTCCAGAATTTACATTCTATATTGCCCCATTACGTAATACTCGTAAGGGTTACATGCCAAAGGTGAGGGAAACGTGATTTTCGAAAAGAGGAAAACTAACACATATATACACGAGGTGTCGGCAGCAGTCTAAAGGCTGGTAAAAACGGCGTGGATCGAGCTAAGACAGTGAGTACGACGTCATTTTCGCCAACCAGATTTTCTTGCTGGGCAACTATGTTGTAGAGCTGAAAGCTTATCTAAATTCTGGCCAGCGGCCAAATCTTTCTAAATCCTTGTTTTTTTCAGATCGGCACATTTCGCACCGAGGTGTGCTGCCTGGGTTGTGCCTGTCCTCGCAGAAGTAGACAGATACAAGGTGGCGCAAAATCGGGTCCAGGTTCCGTTTATTTTTGAAAAAAGTGAGGTTACCTACTTGGAAAACACTCATGTTGTGTTATCATTCATTAATTAGCGCAATTAGCGACAACCTGTAAACTCTAATTTAGGAACTTATTAAATTCGAAATCAGTTCACATAATTATTTCTGGCTATGAAAGCATGAAACGTTCGGCATTGCATAGCGGTAAGTCAATAATGTCAAATACAGGGTGAAGAATCAATGTGTGCAAAAAATTGTATGTTTCACTTCGACTGTGAAGGATCGTCCATTTTCACAAATTGTACTTTTGGATTACTTATACTTAGAAGTTTCGAATTACTTTTGAAGTTTAATCGAAGATTCTTCTGAAAAATGAGTCATGTTTGTGTTCACCTCTCATGTTGACCTATTAATACAGGGTGAGTCATAACTATTGGGACATAGGCTGAGGAGGATTGTTTGGACCAAAATATGGCGATATAAACGACTATGCCTTGATAAAATATTGCTGTGGAAAAATATTCAAGGCGATATGTTTCCTCGTTTTTTTTTGCTAATAATTTCTATATTCAACAACTGTTATCGAAATCGGCACAGAGGCATAATTTTGTACAGGGAATATTATTTTATGAATTATTCTACAGTTTGTTACAGGGAGCGCCACGTTAATTATTCCAGATGATGTAATCAACTGACAAATTTTTTTTGACAACTTCTCAGTGATTTTGATTAGAAAATATGACATAAAGATCACTTTTTCGTAATATTGGTACTTACTCTTGTTTAAAAACACATTTTCATCTGTTTTCGATAAAATCGCAATTGAACAGTTTGAAGTCTCGGAAGGGGATTTCAAATATTATTTCATTTATGTAGAGTGTGCTTTGGACTGTCTGATAATTGTTTCTGGTGAATTACATTTCTTGTCAGGGAATGAATTTTGGTGCGACTTTATAGTCGATACTTCTTCGATTGAAACGCCCAGTATCTTTTGCCACAGCAATATTTTATTGAGGCATATTTTAGTCCTATTGCCATATTTTGGTCCATTCTACGAACATGGAAATGGGACGAAAATTCGCGTTCCAAAAACGTGCTCATAATATTTTTCGAAACATTCTATGAATAGACAGGGTGTTTCATTATTGAATGTCAATATTTGAGGAGGCGATTCTTGGGCCCATTCTAAGAAGAAAGTTTCATATGAACGCATGACCTAAACGTCCTAACTTTTGAGATACAGGTTGGTGAAGTTCTCATAAATGAATAGTTTTTATTATTATCTCTGTAATACCACTTCAGATATTCTAATAAAATTTGGCATACATATTATGTACTATGTATCAAGAGGCATTAGTTAGTGTACCACATTTCTTTTGGCTGCCACCAGTGGCGTTTTATGGAATTTCACATACCTATTGTAAGCTTGGTGGACTATTAGAATAAAACACTCTGGGTACTCCACGATTTCAACTATATTCACAATATACAACCTAGCCGTATCACGGCTACTTCTTAACTACTTAATATTACTCATACATCGATAAATTCTACCCAAAATACCCGTCACCTTTTACATAACCCCGTGTGTCATCAATAGATCGACACTCATTAATCTAGAAGCACTATACAGGGCGTATATGTACGTAGCTCCTGGATACGATACTCTCTTGCACTATTTTGGCAGACATTGATGGTACGCCACTGATTAATCTCGAAATTGAAATCATTCCTGAAATTCCCAATCATTTCCAAGCAAATTTGATCACTACAATTCTTGCAATCTGATGCACGGTTTTCGCTTAAATAAATAAAAAGCTTTTCACTACATGATTATTATATAGCAATATCGTTAATATGACAATATCACAATGCAGAGAAATAGATTTTATTTCTTAGATCAAATTTCAGAAAAATACAATTCCTAGTTTGAACTTCGTATTCGTATTTGGTATTTTGAAATTATAACTTCTCATTGTAGTAGGCTAAAAATATTGATTTTTGAGAACTTTACCACCACCCTGTATCTCGAAAGTAGGTAATACGTTCATATGAAATTTTCTTCTTAGAATGGGCCCGAGAACATTCAATTTTGAAACATCCTCAGAATGATCTCGGAATATTCTCCGTATACAGGGGTTTTTAAAGAGCATGGAAAATATTTCAGCGTTCGATATAGGAAGAAAATATACGAAGCCCTGAATGAGGCACCTAAAATAAAAAAAATAAAAACTTCAAAATTCTGAGTTATAGGAACTTCACCACTAGTAATTGAACATCCAATATTCGAGTTATAACTCGGGTAGGTTAGGAAGGAATAGGTAATTGGAGAAAATAGCGATAAATTTGAATTCACTGAACCCCATTGCCACCGCAGATGAGCATGACAGGTTTTATCAAAATCAGCGAAAATCAATGAAAAATCGATTTTTTCTGAGCAATTTGATTCACTGTATCTCGAAAACGAAGCAAGTTAGGAGATGCATACAGTCTCATAGGAAACAAAAATGTGTCTCTTTCTCGGAGTATCTATAGATAATAATATATTATATGAACCTATGTTCATCATCATCACCTGGAGAACATGCCTAGAATATTCGAACAATACATTCTATGATCATTCCTGAATAACATTCATAGAATATAATGGAATATTCTAGGAACGTTTCTAGGATATTTGGATGAAATGTTCTGTGAATCTTCTCGTAAAACATTCTATAAACATTCAGAACATCCTCATCATATTCTATGAACGTTCTTCGGAATATTCTGAAGGAGGTATATGTTGTGAACATTGTGAGAAGATTCATAGCATATTCTGTGCTATCTGATGGGAGCCTATTTCCTTATAGTTATGACACACCCTGTATATTTTCATATGAAAGAACATAAAGTGTTATCAACCGAATAAATTATAATCCACTGTTGACTACAGAACGAATTATGAACTCTCGTAGCTTTTAGAAATATGGTTTCGAAATGAGGATTTCTACGTATAAAATAAAGTGAGAAGCCAAAAGGGATACAAAAACATTGAATTTATTTCTTAAATCATTCTGTGAATATCAAATGATTCGCTAAACAGGATTCTGAACGTCCTAGACCATATATATATATCGAGGTGTAAAATTTAGACAATAACATTGAGTATTCACCATGCATAGCTAGAAAAAGGGGATTTTTTCAGACTGTGTTTAAATAGCCAAATACAAAAATGTATAATGTAAAGGGTGAGTCATAACATGGGACATAAGGGCGGATTGTTTGGACCAAAATATGGCGATAGGACCAAATTTGCCTTGATAGAATATTGCTGTGGAAAAAGATACAGGGCGTTTCAATCGAAAAAGTATTTACTATGAACTCGCACCAAATGTATGCATTCACCAGCAACAATTATCTGACAGTCCAAAGCACACTCTTCATAAAAGAAATTATATTTGAAATCCCCTTCCGAGACTTTGAACTATTCAATTGCGTTTTTCTCGAAAACGGATGAAAATGTCGTGTTTTTAAACAAGAGTACCTATCAAATATTACGTAGAAATGTGTTTATGTCAAATTTTCTAACCGAAATCACTAGAAAGTTTCGTCGACAAAGTTACCAGCCGATTTCATCATCAGGAATCGCGTCCCCTGTAAGAAACTGTAGAATAATACTTGAAATAATATTCCCAAAAAACTGAAAAAAAAACAACTCTATCTTTTACCGCAGCAATATTTTATGAAGGGATATTAGGGCCTATCGCCATATTTTGGTCCAACAATCCTCCCTTATTAGTGTACCACAATAACATTTAGGAATATTCAAATAGGTATTTTGCCAATTGAGAGAACATATACCGAACTTCGATATACCGAAAAATACTTTTGAGAGGATGGCAACTTGATTGCAGACTGAATATTATCGTGATATATCTTATATAGCTATTTATTTCGTTTAGTATGACAAGATGATATGGAGATTTCCTGATCTGCGAACTAACTTTGTGCATAGTTATTTGAGAAAATTGTTTTCTTGAGTTCCTCCTACATTTCAGATGGCCAGCCTGCAATTTTTACATGACGTTGAATGCTTCCAAAGTTTTAGGCTCATATTTATATAACTCAAAATCGTAGCAACTTCAGACAGAGGATACCTGATTTTGCGCCACCTTCAAGATTCACATATATTTAGGTTCAAACTTATGCTTCTTTTTTGAATAGGTATCAGATTTGTCATTTACTTGACTCCCGCTCTGGAAAAATTTACAATTAGGTAAATCTGTGTTAGATAGAAAGATACAAAATGATCAATATAAATAGTATACTTGATCACAATGACTAGTGAAGGTATACATGGGATCAGAAGCTCAAAAAACACCCTGTATTCCTACTTCATATTTGAAAGGAATATCCGAAAACAAAATTATTTACTTTCCCAGCGATTCATATTTTTGCAGCTGTATTTATGTGAAGAAAATCACATATTTTCGTCAAATTATTTATAGTGCAATGCACTTTGCTCCGCATATGTTTTAGTCAAGGATAATTGCAAGAATGACAGCTGCAAAACTTCCTTTATCTGTCTCCGAACGTAGGCATGCAGAAACAATAAAATTTATGGTTTGTCATTCTGATATTTCAATCTGATTGAATGGGAATGGCATTCAATAAATAGGTAATGATTCGAAGATTATATGCCGACCGAATATATTCTATTCTATTAGGATATTAATAACCTCTGATTAGCTATGAATTTTCGATTATGTTCATTACACATGTTTCAATAAACATAAGCAATAAATAATAAATTGTAAGGCTCACGTTGTCTTTCCTTTCCAAATCTGAATATGTAATCGGACAAAACAATATGGTGGAAAATTGTCAAAAACTCACTTTATGCAGAACAGTAAAACTGTAATACCCTCATGTCAATGAGGCAAAATCTATAATGAGTATCATAAAAATACGTTGGTGGACAGAATTGTAATTACATTACGCCCACAATGTCATTATGATGAATTTATTGGAATTCCTGTGAGATTACGTATTTGAAGTTCATGGAATACACGAGTTTCCCTTTTATAAATATTTGATTAGCTATCTGAAGTTTTAGGACTTCATTCTCGTTCAACAAGAAGGGGGTATTGTTTTTCGAACTGACTGAAATCTTTTCTTAATCTAATATTTTGCATGTTTCGTGAGAATACCTTGGAAAATTCGCGATAAACGTGTTGTGAACCTTTTTTCAACCGCATTAAATATGTGAAACAAAAGTTTGTCTCTATCGAGATTCATTTATCAGGGAAAGTAGGTGATTTAAATTTTTTTTATCGATTTACCTAATGCTGTTCGGATGGAGATGAGATGGGATAGGAATGCTCTTTAATTAGGTGACAGTCAAAATGATAATAAAATATATTTGTCCAGAAATCTACATAAAATGTGAACATCAAGTGATTCAATGACTGCAATATACTTGCAAAATTTAATTCAAAATTTCCTCAGCAATAAATGTGATGAAAAATTCAATATAATCATGGGAAAAGATACTACTAAGATAAATCAACTAGAAATAAAATTCTAAACAAATAGTAGGTATCTGTCAATCAATTTTTAAAAATCATTCTATCAATCATCAATCAAATAAATAACAATGATAAAACAGCTCAATTAAATATTAAGTTGGTACACGATGACAATATTTCAACATTTAATACATTCAATAGTTATCCTCATTAATGAAAGACCGTTAACAATGTTTTATCTATGCGGCATGAAGATCGATACGTAAATAATAATATTTTCAATAATCACAGTGTTCCAATCAAAGCTTTGAACACAAAACATGACTATATAACATCACGTCTAAACAAAAATTATTTTTCAATGTTATTCTCTTTTTTCAATAAAATAAGCAGTTACGTATATTTCACACATATGATACCGAAATTATTTATATATTTAAGTGCCCTGTTATATTTTTTCATTGAACACATTCATCGAGAGAGATATTACTGCACACAGCAAGAATTCTTGTGTCCATTCTTGGATTTCAATCTGGATTTCGGACGGTATTTCTCCAGAAACGCCAATTGCTTGGCGTTGATTGCACCTCTCCTTTTCCTGCAAAAATACAAAATATCTCATCTCATGCCACCAATATTATATTATCACTTTAGAAGTGCAGTATTTTTCCAAAGTTTTAAATTTTTTTTAACTACATCTATTTCAGAGTGTGCCAGAAAGACGACATCAGCATATAGTAATTTAAAAATGTGGTTTCAGTCGTTAATATTTCGTACCCTTCAGGCCACTTGATTTTATGATGAAGTTCACCTTAAATGTGATCATTTATAAAATTGATCCAAACTTGACTTGTCCCGTATCTAACAGAAACCAAAATGCGACCCTCATACGCATGCTCTTTGATTGCCCAATATATACTGTTATGAATCAGAATATTTCCTGTCTTCAGAGTGCTGATTAATTAATACTTGCACTTAAAAATATATGGAGCTAGAACTATTGCTACTTATATTTGGAATATTCTTGAGCTTCGTTCATTCATCCTATCGGAATAAAATATAACTTGTTATGTTTATTATTATTGTGTAATGTACATTGTTATCATTGTTTTGTATCTCTCTGTGATTCTTTTTTGTAACTCTCCCTTGAATTCATTGCTGTGAACAATATGTTTTTCTGCAACCGACAAAAAAGTCGTCAATTTTAATACCAAAATTACGAATTTTATCAGGTACTTTAGGTACCCATACTTCTTCGAGCTGTATTATGCAGCAAATCAAACTTGAGTAAGACATTATGGGTGGTTGGATAAAAACTCGATTTTTTACATCCAAAAAACGAAATATTGTCTCACTGTGGCACATCTGCCTCCGCTAATATTTTTGTTTGTCTCCTCAGGAGTACAAACATATACTATTTGGAAGTTGAAAGATACAATAGAAGTTTCTGAAAGGAAATACATGTTTCGGGACTAACGGAAGTGTCCTACTTACTGTTTTAGTGAATTGATGAGTGACTAATTTAGTAGGTATTATAGGTCGGAATCAGACTTTTTTATAAACTCCAAAACTCGATAGTTACATAAATACAACCTTGGCATTTCACACTTTTCTGAAATTTGGTCCAGTGCTGTTCTGGGTTGGGCACTTGCTTTCTATTAATGCGTTATTGGAACATTAGGTAGCTTCACTAAGACCTTGACCTTAAGGGCTAACGACTTGTGATTACGAGAATGGTGAACCCAGCGTATTTGTATGTACGCTGGCGATCCCGAGGTACCCGAGCCGGATGGATTCCTCTTCCTCCTTCAGTTTAAAATCTTTCCTATCGGCTTTCTTGACCAATTCTTTTTTCCTTCTCCCCTGAAGCCCAATATCAGCCTGATGCGGGGAGAACCAGCCGTGGCTGCTCGGCAAATGGAGCATTTTGTGGACATCTTTGTTTTGATCACTCTGATGAGACAGTTTTGTGGACATCGGTGTGTAGAAATGGAACAATTTGTGAACATCTGCTCATGGGTCGTGTTTTAATGAAGGAGACTTTGCAACCTAATTCAAGTTGTGGGAACTCGTGACGAGGAATGATTGGCACCGAGGTTATATGGTGTCTGTGACGGGACCTTTCGTAAACAGAAAGGGATCTCAGAGTAAACTGCATTAGCCCTGTGCAGGGGACACCACAGGGCTGGACCAACCCTTCCCCCATCACTCATAGGAGAAGAAGAACTTTTGGTCTTCTTCGTGGACGAGATCAGGGGTCTGTAAAGCAGTCTCCGGGAACCTGAACGAAAAGGGCCTTTCAAACGAATTTCTGCGATGGTATTTGCACAGGGTGAGTCATAACTATTGGGACATAGGCTAAGGGCGGATTGTTTGGAACAAAATATGGCGATAGGACGAAATATGCCTCAATGAAAGAAGACATGTATTTATACCAGCAACAATTATCTGACAGTCCAAAGCACACTCTTCATAAATGAAATAATATTTGAAATCACCTTCAGAGACTTTGAACTGTTCAATTGCACTTTTCTCGAAAACAGATTAGAATATTGTTTTTCAACCAATATTACGTAGAAATAATGTTAATTTCGTTTTCTAATACATGAATTAATATTCTCTTTATATAAAATTTTGCCTCCGTGCAAATTTTGATGACAATTGATGAATATACAGTGAAATAATTCGCAATAAACAACAATACGCCCTTAGCCTATGTCCCAATAGTTATGACTCACCCTGTTATAAGAACCACAGGTCGTATATGATGAAATCAATAACTGCATATTCGAGGTAAGATACAACAGGTCAGACGAGCCTTGGAAGGAGATGAAGTGTTTAGGGGGTTCATCGACATATAGGAACTCAAACACTATAACTACCATGAAGGGGATGGCACTTCGTGGTGTCCATACAAATTTCGATCACCTCGAGAAAAAAGATCTTACACATAATTATATTAGATTACGGGAAAGCCATTTTTTCATCAGTAGTTGTTGCATGATTACAAAGTGTTAGTTTAACAGTTGAAATAATCCAACCGCGAAACGAGAAGATTATTCTTTCAAACTAACACGATTTGTAATTGAGCAGGAAGTTTGAGATGCATAACCTTGATATTTTGAAGTTCGAATTGTACTCGTTGCGATTACTTTTGAGTAGTTCTAAACGTCAAAACTTCACGACGCGCTTTGTTTGTATGTTACAATTTAAATTGGTTTCAATATGGAAACGGAAATAATTCTAAATTTCTGTTTGGTGGAGTTACTCTACGTATATCCACGTATATTCGAAATTATACAAGGTAGCTCAACTCAATTGAACCCGATTGAAAATCATAGGATGAAAATAATCGCATTTATAGAGATCGCGATTCATTATTTTCATTGGATATATCGATGGCATGCTCCATATTATGGGAATATTTGTTGAAAAAATATAGAAATGGGAAAAAATGGAGAAAAACCAATTGAACTCATAATATGGGAATATTCGTACTTGGCTATCTACTGCTAGTCTGTACCAGAGATAAGCAAACTTATGTCTGTTCCTTTGTGCTGATAAACTTTCATAGAAAACACCAAGTTTAGCAGGTAGAGGAAATACAAACGAACAGGCAGGCCTCTTATCTCTGTCTGTACACTCGTCTTCAGTGAACATGTCGCGGTTGGACGGTATGATCGCTCTTATTGCAGCGGTGATTAACAGAGCTGACACCGTCCATATGCGACATGTTCTCTGAAGACGACTGTACCATATCATGTTGGTGTTCTGAGTTTCTGTGTCGTGTGCCCGACTGACATAATGGTCAGAAAAGTAGCCGTAGTCGTTTCATATAACTGTGCTTTCATGTTCCATGCACAGAACACAGATCACAGAAGCATAGAACACGTGTGTCAGTGACAGAAGTCTCGATTCTCGAAGCACAGAAGCATTTTCCTTATCTAAGTATTTTCTCTTCATGCAAGTCATGCACTGTTTAAGTTTGTTCTCAAATTCAATGTGGAAAATATTACAAATATATGGACCGGAGTAATCTTTTTTTTTTCATTTGAGCACCCATATCTGACGAAAGCAAACATATTGGAGAAATCTTGAAAAAATGGCAATTTCTCGACACTTGCTACGGAATTTTAATCAAAATAGGTTGGCAACACTGCTCGGCACTCACTCTCTGATAAGTTCGACGGCCTCCTCGTACTTGAGCCCCAGCTCGATGAGCGCGAGCGCCACCATGACGGGCGCCCTGCCGAGGCCGGCAATGCAGTGCACCGCCACGCAGCACTCGGGGTCGTCGTTGAACTGCTTCTTGAGCACCTTGAACCACTCGTCGACGATCTTGTTGGGCGGGAAGGTGCCGTCGTCGTAGCCCAAGTCGAACACCTCGATGCCGTGCGCATTAAGCTCGTCAACCTTGTAGGAGGGCTCGCAGACCCTCACTACGGCGGACACACGGTGTTTCTTCAGCTCCTGCAACCGATTCGAATTCAATTTAGTATATAATACCACAAGTGATGATAGAGTAGTGTTGCCACGAACTTTCTATGACGTTATAATCACGTCATCATCTCGACGTCGAGTGAACGTCACTTAGAAGGGTAAAATAAGACGTCAGTTTCATGACGTTGCAGAGACGTCCTGTCGACGTCCATGTTTCCCAGACCATATCGAAACCATGTCAACTTACATTATTATGTGAAACCGTTAGGTTTTGTGACGTACCTATATATACAGGATAGACATTTTCAGTGTCGAAAAGTTTTCAGAAAATATCGTTTTTTCATTAATTTTATACACATATATATAGAAACATGTACGTCTTGGTAATTTTCTATATATGCTTCTAACGTCGATAGAAGTATAACTCATTAAAACAAATCAGCTTGCAAGTATTCTTGGAATTATATATACCCAAAAAGTAAGAGAAAACTTTTTTTAAACTTTGACACCCTGTATATCTCCGAAACCAATCAAGCTATATATGTATATATACAAATGATAATATAGCTGTACCTGTATCTATTATGAAACCCTCACTTTTATGACGTTGCAGTGACGTATCTATGACGTCTAAAAATCACGTCAGTGTGACGTACCAATTTAGTGAGCTTCGTCATTCTGAAGATTTTTCAATAATTTGCTATTTAGGTTTCCGTTGGGTGACAAATAATGCATGAATATACGTTACTCAACAAAGTGAAGCTGAATTCGCCAACATCCTTTTCATTGCTATCAAACTATTCTTGGTTTGCTGACATCTCGCCGACACAAACTGCATAATTTTTCATACAAATACGAGTAACTGATTTCATTCTTATGGAGCTGCGAACTGTGGGATAGCGCTGCTGAATAGACGATTGAATGGACATGACACCACCATGTTCGAGGAAAATTTTTTACGTGCCATCATCGAATTTGAATGTCAATTTGACGTCATTTCACGTCATACCACGTCAACTCCTGACGTCACCTTGGTCATTCAACTGACGTAAAAAGACGTCACTGAAACGTCATCTGGTTGCCTGGGATTATACATGGCGCCGACCCAAATTATACACCAATATACACATCCAATTTGGAAATATACAAATTTCATACACCAACGATTCCGAGCAATTTTAGTTCGAAAAAAAAGTGATTTCTATTCAGAATTTCGATAAACAATGCTGATATTGCTGATAATAAGATGATTTGATGTATTCAAAATGATTCGAATAATACCTATTTATGAAACATACAGGTATGCCACTAGTGCTTCACTAGCATAATAACTAAGCCACTTATCCAATAGGATTATGATTAAGGAATATTTGAAAATGTTGATGATGATGAATGAACTGATATATAAGTACATGACAACAAAACAAATCTTTTGACGTATCACGTATTCAGAAATGGCAAGAACATAGAACAATGTCAATATGACATATTCCTTGAAATTTTTGCATTTTGTGTCCCTGGGTTTTAGTTCTGTGCCCAGCAGTTGCAGCACAGAACCCATGTACCTAGTCACTTTCACATTAAACAAATCACAGGATGTTTCTTTTCATTTTGATCCATGACCGAAAATCCGAAAATGTCATCATGGCTACACTCTACATTCCAGAAGGTTGCATTCTGCAGAATATTATACACAATTATACATAATTTTTTTTATGATACATAGCTGTATGTTCGGGAAACTGAAGAGATTTCATTCACAATAATGTAATTCATAGTGAAGACGTCATCAAAATATTGAGTAGACCAACAAAAATGCGCATGTGAAAAAGAAAATCGACGTGCCTGAGCTTTTTTCCTAATGGCCATAACAAGCTTTTAATGAATTTGTTCCAACCTTTACGATATATCGTTGGAAAGAATATAGTAATCTCCAGAAAAAAATTATACTTTATATTTTAACACAGGGGGGTAAATCGGTTCCGGGTCACCTGTGCAGTACATTACATGGGTGTTTAGAAAATATGAAATGAGGGACGTTGGACATAACAGATACTGTAAAACATAAAATGTAAAACACTAGAAGTACGCCACAAGTTCAACTCCAAGGGAGTTATCAGACTTGGAATGACAGTCATGGGTGAAGTGCCAGGGCAGAAAAGATTGAACGTCAGTTGCCTCCACGATCGTTATAATTTACTTACCGTTGAGTGTTATGTTGGAAAATCAAAATACAGGAACCAATTTTTACTCCTGCAACCGAGAAGCGAAAAGGTTCGTTGGAATGCATGAAAAGCAGTCGATCAATCAATCAAAATAAATATACTTGATGGTCAAGATGGAAGTACGTGAATTGTCAAAATATATGGACGATTTTTGGTGAGATATGTTTCATTCTCGTGAGTAAAAGTTCATCCTGTTTTTGAAAAATATTCCAAAACTTGTTTGTTTTTATTGCCGTATTGCAGTTGTAACCTCCACTTGAAGAACCATTACAATGTTTGATTTAAAAAAACCTTTAAATTATATGTATAATTACAACAACTTGTTCAAAAGATCTTCTGAAATGATTTAGCAACAAAATTTATTTCAGACTATCCGGAAGATGGTTCGTTATACAATTTGGCAGCCAAGTGTAGACCACTGAATGCTTCGTTGATGGGATAGACGGTCTATGAGTTCTCTGGGATAGACATCACCAGTCTCAAATTATTGTTCTGGCCGTTGGACGGAAAAACATCTCATATTTTGCTAATTAATTTTCGTGGACTCCACAATCCACATCACACCGTTTCAAGAATCAGTATTGAAATGAAACCCCAAGTGCGTAAGTTTCTGTTTCCTGTATTTCTACAGATTTTTGTACAACTGGTAACAGTCAACGTACAACTTCCCATTAAAAAAAGTATCGAATATCGATCAGAAGAACAAATAGAATCCATGAGAATGGATTGAATAAAAAGAGTCAAGTAAGTTCTTAGCACTTCGTGTTATACAGCGTGTCACACTTCAAACATCCAACCAAATTTGGACTACTGATATGAACCATATGAACCATCAATATGCTCAGTTTTCCATAGTCGATTTTTTATGCCCAGCCAACCATCGTGCGACATCAAAATCAGTGTGATGTTACAACCTAACATAAATGCAATATCTCGTTAACACATCTAATCGACGTAGATTCGATATCAAAGTCAAAAGGTTAAAGGAGGAGAATATGTAATGTGGTAGGAACATCCATCAAACTACATCTAATCGACGTTAACTGAATAATTCACATTGATATCCTAATAAGACATCTTTGTGACCTGTGAGTGTGACGCTGACATGCGCAGAACAAACGCACACGCCAGACGCCATGTTAATCTGTGGCCCTGGTTTGTTGATTCTTCGATTTCGTCCTCCGACACTTCGACACCCTCTAAATTTTCTGTTCAAAAATCTGAGGAACCTGCTCATGGCACATATATCAGCTTCAAATTCTACAATTATTTAGGATCAATGGTGAGTACAATCACAATATCGTAATTGCCCTGATATTGCATTCAATACTGATATAATATATTTAAATGCCCAAAGCCTACTTCCCAAAATGGACCAGATACGAGGTTCTATTATGTGCTATAGTCCAAAAATTATATTGATCACAGAATCTCGGTTAACCAAAGAAATTAATAATAACGAAATACATATTGATGGATACAATATTGTGAGATGTGATTCAGTAAATCGTCATACTGGTGGTGTTACAATTTTTCTAAAAGATGGACTTAAGTTCTCGGTTCATAAGACATTTGTAAATGAAGGAGAGTTCTGGTGTAAAGTAGTTAAAGTTCAATTTGGATTTGGTCAAATATTTATTGGATGCTTATATCGATCACCTTCAAGTTCAGATGCATTGTTTCTAGATGAATTTGAGAATATTTGTGACACTCTTTTTGCTACAGATAAGAAATGTATTTTTATAGGAGATTTTAACATTAATTTATTTAGTGATAACTATTACTCATGTAAGATTAAAAAAATGTTTCTACAGTATGGAGTTAAGCAACTGGTTAATGAACCCACCAGAATAACTGATGTAAGTGAAACTCTGATTGATTATGTGTTAGTTAACCATGATCTATGTACATCTAAAGTCCATGACACTCCTAAGATATCTGATCATTCTTTAATAGTAACAAATATAGTGAGAAACCAAGATCACTTCAATTCTTCTATAAAAAAATACAGAAATATGTCAGTTGAGAACCTTGATCAAATGAGATTGGCATTTATGTACTATGAATGGTCACTCAATTGCACAGATGTTAACTTTATTTACAATGAGTTACAGTCACAATGTAGTTCAATAATCAATAACATATCACCAATACTCACTACTAAATATAAAAATAATGTTCCCTGGTTTGATAACGATATTAACAATAAAATAAAAGAGAGAGATAGGAGCTATAAAACTTTTAAATCTTGCATAGACGGAGACAGACATGAAAAATGGGAAATATATAAAAAATACAGAAATGACGTAGTCAATCTGTTGAAAATAAAAAAGAAACAATATTACTTCAATAAAATAGACAAATATTCTAATAACTCGGAGCTTATGTGGAGAACGCTTAAAAAATTAGTAAATGTTAATTATAATAAATTTCCTAATTCCATTGAATTTGATACGGAGGATGGTAAAAATATTATACATGACTATAATGAAATTGCAAATAAGATGAATAGTTACTTTGTCAATAGCATTACTGACATTATTGAAAGTATACCAGAAGATAAGGTATGGAACTATTGTAATTATAACTTATATCCCAATTTCTCACAATTCTCTGTACTGTCAATGCAAGACTTACGTAAAATTATTAATTCATTAGATAATAGTGGAAACATATTTGAGATTCTGAATTGCAAAATGGTAAAACACATCTTCGAATCGATTGGACATGTAATATTGAACTTTGTTAATACATCATTGAAGACAGGTGTAGTTCCAAATGATTTAAAAGTTAGTACTATAATCC